GCCGATCCTAAACTCCTTCCTGTCACGCGAAACCCCCCACCGAGTAACGACGACGGGGCTACCGCAGGTGCTCGACTCTATGTTGCTTGTTGTTAGTTCTAGAGACGAGACTGGTCTTGATTGCTCTCCGTGAAGTTTAAATTTGTGCAATTGCGCTAGCTATCTCGGTCATTGCCTCACTTCCTCGCGTGGTATCCTAGGAACCGAGGATTTCACGATGGTAGAGTAGATACGGACTTAGTACATGCTTAGGCAGACTTGCTATATTTGAATCATGATGAAATTTCCGTACGTGCAAGTATGAGGGCATGTACCTGGTAGACCCGTGTTCCGGTTTATAGAATAGTATGTGTTCAAGCTGTTTGAGAATAGTCAAGCAAGCAAATAGGCAACGTCCATCTATCCGTTCAGCCAGACATTGCATAGCCTAGGTTGCCAAAGTCAAACACAAAGGAGAATATTTCATTTCTTCCTCGGGGATTAGTTGGTTACGCAAGTCAAGGCAAAAAATAAATAAAAGAAAACGAGATGGATTTCTTTCCTTCTATCTAGGTTTCATAACCTGAGTATCCGACGTTTACAAGTATCGCGCTCTTTACTTCTATAGCTATAATTATGCAATGCAAGGAGAGGAAACGCCTTGATGGACCCCTATCCTTCCTCCTCTATGCTCAGGCAATAGGACCAATTGAATACTTTGGGTACCTTATGAGAGGGACAGCCCGTAACCCCAGATTTGTGTTTTCCTTGACACCAGTATTCTTCAGCCGTTGGGCATTGGGAATAACAACTTCTAGGTTGCCCCAGGGATGGTCCTGGCTTGTGCCTACACTTCGTTAACAGGCAGTGTGACAACTATTCTGGGTCCTGAAGAACTTTCTTCCGCCTGCCTTGCACCTGCATAAGCATGATGCAGGTTCAACTTCGAGGAAGAGCATCACCCCCTCCCTCCTCCTCGGCCGTCTCATCGGAAGATTGAATATGGTCTTGGCTCTCCCCCCGTGTCCGATTCTGATTTAGAAAAAACGAATTCCAGTCCATCTACGAGTGTCGTCTGCCCCACGCTGTTAGAATAACTACCGCAGTAACTATCCTATAGCTATCCTTGCACTTAACTCACTGCACTCCCCCTTATTAACAATGCTAGATCTAGACGACAGTCAACCCCCCCCACCCCCGGTAGATGTCTTCCCCGGAGGATATCATCAAAACAGAAGCTCGCAAAGCAATGGGACAGCACGTGCTAGAGTTTGCCGAAGACTGGGGGGGTTGATTTGATGGAGAGATCAACAAAATCACTGGCTCTACTGCTCAAGCTTGCTGCAGCTAGAGTGCATGACTGGCTGTTGGTGGTTAGGGTGGAAAATAAAGATCATCCACAAAGCCGCCATATGTCGGGGCGGCAGGCTCTCGGACTCTTGATTGTTAGTTCTCTTTTCTTTTTCTACGGACCTCGAAGAATGCGTTTTTTCTCTCGAGTTGAATCCCCGATGTTCAGGTGTCGTAATATGGTGTTGCGAATTTCTAATCATAGATCTAGATAACTATGGCCGCACATACCTACATAGGAGAGGGCAGATATATGGTTTACTGGCCTGTGCAGACACAGATGCGGTGTGTGTTGTGATAGGCCTAGTTAACTACGCCGAAACAATCTCATCAGATAACCCATCCCCAGTTCTCGGTGATCGACATATCAATCTGCTCACAACATCATTTATCGGACGATAATTCAAAAGGGTCAACTTTACACGCCCAACAGATCTAGACGAGCTAGCTAGAGGGGAAGCGAGCGCGTCGCGTCGACAGATAATTGGAGAGCTAGCTAGAGAAAAGAAGCTTGTTCACTTGGCGTCTAAAAGATCGACTATAACCTCTGGATTCACCCCCGCAAAAAAAATAAAGGTTTCCCGAGAAACTCTAATGTTTTTGTTGTATCTTGTCTTGTTGCTTGTTGTTGGCAAACAACGTCAGAAACAAATTTTCTGCAAATGACTTTTTGGAGTCGCAATTGATGTCATGATAAGAGTAGGAGGCGTTGTGAATTAGTGATCCTCTCTCTCTCTAGTTTCCCTGAGAGCACACATGACAAACGCCCGCTCCGAACCGCTGTCAATCGGCGGTGGTGCCGCAACGCCTTGCAGACACAAGTAACATAAGATCTAGATCCTAACCTGTAGAGTTAACCTCCCACGAACTTCCTTCCTGCTAGGTAATCAGATGTAAGTGTTTGGCACGCACGGTGTTTGTTCCAAATCGGAAGCAGACCGGAGTGCGAATTACTTAAAGACGCACTTAGTCTAGCAATTAACATCGGGCGATATAACCTCCTGTCTTGCTAGAAAATGAGGGTTTGCCAATGGTTTTGGAGTACTTCATACAACGTGTGATAGTTGGTGATTGTCTTGCGGGCGCGTTCAAGATCTAGTCACGCAATGATAGGTACGGTCGAGTCCCGTTGTCCAACTCGAGAGATGGCGATTCGCACAACTAATAATCTCCGGAGGGAAAAGGAAAGGCGTCATATGGACTCCAGATGCGATTATAATCGACAATTGGATCTAATACGAAGACAGCTTCTTCGGTCTCTGGATCTGGCGGATCTGGCGGATTTCTAGTGCTTATCAACATGCTGTCAGGGCTTACAGAGCTTCGGAGATTCAATTGTAAGCCCAAGCCCAAGCTCAAGTATCTGATATGTTCTACTCTGTATTTTCACATAATGACAAGTGCATCATAGGAAGCGAAAGATCCGAAGCCCTAAATAATCTTGTCTCATGTACGCCAAAAATTCGGGCATCGCTCTGAGGAGAAGAAGGAACATCTCCTCCAAAACATCTTAACCTGGCAAATTTGCTAGAGAAAAAGGGGTGTTTCCTCTAGACTGGGTTTTTTGCTCGTTTGGCGCACACTAGGATCTAACGGGAGCGGATCGACCCGTTTTTGAACGACCCCGCAAGGATTGAACGTGACACGTCACGCTGGACTTACGCGCTAATTAAAAAACGAAGGCCCGATATTAGACCCTTTGCGCTGGATGCATCCAGCTTCCTTGTCTCTTAGCGTTATATGGATTTTCGTTGATTTTCGAAGATAAGAAATAGAGCCAGATGTTGCTTGCCACCGATCAGCATTATCCACCTTTTGGTGAGAGAGGAAATTCAACCCCAAAGTAAATAATTTTCTTCTACCACCAACACCTTAGCTAAATCATTGAGAATTTGATAGAAGGTGTAGTTACATCTGAATTTTATCATGAAAGAATCCTCTTAAAAAAGGTCATCATTTGGTCATTCTACAAAGAATAGAAGGAGTGGAAGTCTAATTAGGCGATTTACCAACTCTCTGGGAGTCAAATGTAAGGCTGGATCTATAATTCCTTGGCTAATTAATGCTAAGTCTGTCAAAAAAGACCCCGGATCCATCAGCGCAAAGGGTCTATTCAGATGTTCTCGGTGTTTACTGCGGGGAGTACCTACCATCTTCGGTTGATGGTGCTCCGTTAGCTGTAGGTACTGTAATTCTCGAATCGAATCGAATCTTCATTGATAGCCGAGGAAGCTCGGTTGGGTTTTTATCTTTCGGACGAACCATTGATTTGGTAGTTAATTGGCAGTATGCATGTTTGAGTGAATGTCTATCATTCAGTATTATAGACAAGCATTTCAACTTATAGGCCTCACAAACTCCCGACTCCCCGTGTTTACCACGGGTTAACACAACCGGGAGTCAATATATTAAAGTTTTTTCCGAGTGGGTATTTAAACGGAGATTCCGAAATCTGGGCACTCTCAAGGTGTCCCGCCCACCTGTGAGAAGGCATGCTTCTCGATGCTTGGAATTTGCTCACACTCCTCCTAATAAATTTCCCCTGGGTTTTCCCTTTTTCGAAACTCGTACAGTTATGAGCATGGCCTTGGCAAATACCATTACCCGACTGGGATAGGCAATGCAGGCCATATCCGACATCTAGACGCGCTAGATTAGTTGAGGATCCTTTTACATAACATTTGAATTCAGTTTTCCATTTCGTAGTAATTTTGAGTACGTCAGTCCCACCACGGGGGCTCAGGGATTGGAGTTTCTCTACATAAGAGGTCCGAGCGAACTGGCAGCACATTCGAGTCTGCACTTTTTGTTCGCCAGTCGACAGAATCACACCTTTCTATAAGGAGCGTGCATAACCCGGACAATAATTTTACTTCCCATCTCTCCTCACATCCACCAGAATCTCGGGGGAAGACAAAAAGGAATATATGACAGATGGATGAGATGCCTAAATATCTCCTCACAACAAGATTACATATTCCCTTACATCGAGGTTTCCTTATAGCAAGGCGACTAGTTACTCCTGAGTCCTATGTCTCGATCTACAAGTGTAGTTATTTTAGCTGCACAAGTCTGTAGCTTGTATAGCACCACACTCTTTACCTAGAGCGAGTTGGCAAAGGCCATGACCGTGCTGCTTGAGAAACGGAAACCAGGATAGCCCACCATAAAAGCGCAGTTCTTAATGTCCGGATCTCGGAGCTGTAACGTCTTGCACTCTCACTTGAGAGGCACGACTTAGGCCATGGCTTGTCAGGCACTAAGTGCTGAAGGACAGTGGATTCGGTTACAGATAATTCGCTGGTTTCAAATCGGGCTGGGGAAACTACTTGCAGTAAAGCAAAGGTTGCAGCATATCGATCGTAGTAGCAGTAGGGAGAGAGTAGTAGGTAGGTAGCCCACATTTCAGTCTACCTAGAGGTACCTATCTACAACCCCCATTACCAATCCGAGATTGTTAGGGTACGGTATAGCTATAAGTATTAGAACTTTCCCCGCCCAGTTCTTAGGAGAAATAAGATCTCGGACCTCCTCACTCCTTCTCCTGTTTAAATCCGGGGTCGTTGTTGCTATTTCCCATTCTTTTTCCTGCAGAGTTTCACCATCAGAAGAACCCTTGCTTTAATCCCTCGCGCATTATATCAGTCATTATTTTGGAAAAACGGTGAATAATGGCGAGCTCTCCGTTGAGCATGTTATATTCCACTAAGGAGGGGGTGTTTACCAGTGTTGTGGTGATCATCATTCTTTCCATTGCAAAGAGCATTATTACTTCCCGATACTTTCACCCTCTATCACAATTCCCTGGCCCCTTTATTGCCAGTTTCTCTAGACTCTGGATTGTCTACTGGAATCTTCTTGGTGTGGAATATCTTAAGGAATATGATCTGCATAAGAAATATGGTGAGGAAAAACCGTTCCCCCGTTGTCCAAAGGAGGGTTGGGCGTAATATTCATAATTCTTTTTCCCGCTAGGCCCCGTTATCAGAATCACACCCACGATGTTACTCGTCAGCGACCCCAAGATGCTTCCTGAGATCTATCACCGAAGGGCAGACAAGGCCGATCACTACGTAACAGGGTCCTTTGGAAAAACCCCTAGCGTCTTCAACATCCAACCTCATGAGGTCCATGCTGCTGCGAGAAAGAGAATTGCGCAACCGGTAAGTGATCCGAAAGTGTTCAGAATAGTCATTAAAGAAAAAATAAAATAAAATATGACGTGAATCACTTCTAACCCGGGAATAGTATAGCATGACTGCAGTTAAGCCCATGGAAGGTCTCATTGATGCCCGCATCGTCGAGTGGACCGACAAGCTGGAGAACGACTTTGTCAAGACAGGGAAGAAGTTTGACTTTGCTCCTTGGGTTACGTATGTCTCGTCCACCTAGTCCTGTTTGATTTAATGTGACCCTTGACTTGTTTGTTGAGCTTGTTTATTGACTTGGTTTGTAGCTACTTTGCATACGACGTTATTTCTGAAGTTGCCTTTGGAAAGTCTCTTGGTTTCGTTACTAAGGGTATTGATATCGACGGTCTCATCCAGTCCTTCCACGATGGTCTTCCTGCATTCGGTTTCCTGTGTCGTCTCCACCCGTTCACAAAATGGATCAAAGAGACCTGGGTAGCAGATGCCTACATGATTCCCAAGCCCGGTGACAACACCGGTATCGGAAACATCATGACCTTCCGTGACAATCTCCTCGAAGAGCGTATCAAGAATAACAACGACCCTGACCACAAGGTTGAGTACAAGGATCTCCTCCAGAAGTAAGTCTCCTGCCCCACACCACCATCATCACCACAATCCACTGACACTCCATAGCTTCCTCGCTGCAAAGAACAACGATGGTAGCCCAATGCCCATTGAAGACATCAAAGCCGAGACCCTCCTTGTGCTCCTCGCTGGCTCTGACACCACCGCAACTTCCGTCCAAGCCCTCATGGTCGACCTCCTCAGCAACCCCCGCTGCCTCGAGAAGCTCATCGCCGAGATTTCCGAGAAGGACGCCGCTGGCCTGCTTTCACCTGTCCCAAAATACGACGAAGTCCTCGAGCACCTACCCTACTATTGCGCCTGTCTCCGTGAGGCCATGAGGATGACCCCTGCCGCACCAAACATCTTCCCCAGAGTCGTATCCCAGGGTGGTCTCAACCTTTATGGAAAGCACGTGCCAGCCGGTTTCGAGGTTACTGAGAACCCGTGGATTTCGCAGAGAGACAAGACCGTATACGGCGAGGACTCCGAGATTTTCAGGCCCGAGAGATGGCTCGAGGACCCGAAGAAGGCACAGGAAATGGATAAGTACGACTTCACATGGGGATTCGGCACCCGCGTCTGCTTGGGGAAGAATATTGCGTTGATGGAGCTCCATAAGGCGCCTGTGCAGGTAAGCTAAGCGTTAATCCCTACACCCCCCTTACCCACTACATTATGCGCTTAATACACGGACACACGCATTATTTGGGGGATTTATGCTAATGAGGTTACTGTCGCTTGCAGTTTTTCCGTCTTTTTACCCCGGAGCTCGTTAACAAGGAGAAGCCGAGTACATACGTCGTTGCTGGCGGTGTGTCCTTCCACAAGGACCTGTGGCTAAACATCAAGAAGAGACAAGTTTAGATGAAACGTACTTACGCGGACTGGGCCGCGGAGTGAACATGAGATTCTTTCATTTGTCCTTTTTTTTCCTTCTTTCATTTTTACATTTCTTCTTTCGTTTCTTTCTCTCTTTGAATTTGGTTATTTGGTTTTCTATTCTTTTTTATTTAGATTACAGGATGGGTGGATGCATAGGATTGGAAATGGACCGGTAACTTCTAAACTATACATAAATACTTTTTCACAACAATCGTACATAGCTTCAGCTCAAGCTACATACTTCGTTTCCTTTGTTCTAGCATGTGCATGTGTTAATAGGAATAAATACTCAAAAAAACTTGGTACATACATGTATGTAGTTGTAGAATTTGGCATGTAGTTGCAATTACCTGGTGGCCCCCACACGGGGATGGGGGGATTTACAATTCACGTTCCCTACCCCCAATCCCCCATCCAGCCAGCCACACCAGCCCTTCTTTCTCCCCTACATAACGGATGTGCGTGACAATAAAAAAACCTGCCTGTCTTCACGCACATAAGCGACATTCAAGCGAGTATTGTGTGACAGCCAGCCTACGTTACTCTACGATACGAGCAGCGCAGTGACAATGCATACATACCTCTGCTACAGTTACATAACCTACTGTACTGTACTTACTACATGTAGATGTAGACAATCCCAATTAACTGCCCTCCTTATCCCATTTCGCTTCTTCTTCAACTCTAGATGTGCCTATGTAGAGTAGATTAGATAGTACGCGTCCATCTACCTAGGCACATATTTAGGCAGACGGTATCGCAGTTCCGCGTGAGACAACGGAGATATTGATGCCGTGATCGAGGGGAGGTCTCGCATCTGGCCGGCCGGTGTAGAGGAGTAGGAATCTCCTTTCATGGTACATGGTGGTACAGATTGGTGTAACTATGTAATTACATGTAATACAGTAAGCCCAGCGGTGAGGTGAAACTCCGTCCTTCGCAGAATTCTTCCGGCCGGGACGGGAGGGCAGGCAGGATGTTAGAGTATTTGTGTCTGCTGGCCAAATGCGATGCCGATGTGACAATGATATGATATTTAGATGTAGCTACTGTCGTTCACGGGGTATTGGTGGATACTGGGTATTGGCGAATTGCAGGTAAAAGTTGGCTTGGCTGTCTCTTTTTTGCCCTGTTCGCCATCACCCAGTATCCGCCAATACCCCGTGAACGACGGTACATAAGTACGCAGTCAGGCAGATGGAATACTCTAGGCAGACTATGTACGCAGCTCAGGCACCGTGCGTACGTTGCGGGTATCAGAGCTTCTCCTGGGTCGTTAACTGCCGGCCGGCCGATTGGGGGGGGCTAATAACCAACAACTTAAGATGTAACTAATCTACTAAGAGCCGTGAGCGCTGCTATATTGGACCATAACTAACTAGATATGTATTGCATTCTTAACTACATAGACTCATACAAATAAACTACTAATAACGTGCGAGATACATATAACCCAACTAACTGTATACTCCAATTATTAACGATTCGTGGGACAGCGACGAAACCAGCTGAACACCAAACCAGGGTCCTTCAGCAGTGCACAGACTCCCATATCAAAAACCGTTCGTCTCGTCCCAGGAAAGCAAAGGGAATCGAGAGATTTTACAGCTTCGCCGCGGGCTTGTGACCATCCCATTTCCCTTGTTGTCGGTGGTGGTTGACAATCTCCAGCGCCCCCATCCTGTACTCCTCATCACTACCCGTCCCCTGCACATCCTTCCACATCTCTTCATATACATCGCCCCTATCCTGCCCCAACACACTCCCGCTCATATCAAACCGCGTGAACGCAAACGCATCGCTCAAGGCAACGGCAGTGCCAACGTCCATGCGTGCCGTCACGGCATCGTCAAGTGCAGAACGTAGCAGCCTGCTCTGTGCAGAGTCCACAAACCCGCTCTCCAGCAGCTCTGACAACCCTGAGACGAGCCGGGAGAGTGCATTGATATCTGCGAGGAGGGTTATTGCCGTTTTCTCGGCTGAGGAGGGTAGTGAGGACACGGCCCGTTGGAAGGCGGAGGTGATGAAGACGTCAGCGTGGGCGTCGGTCACGCGCCGGCAGTCCCAGCTGTAGCTGGACCAGTCTTTTTCACCGCTGGCAACCTTGAGGCCGAGATCGAGAACTAGGAAGGCAGCGCGATGCTCGAGTGCTGCAATTTGGACGGAGGGTGTAAACCAGTCCTGTTTTGTGGTTGCGGCGGCGCGGAGGAGCGTGAAAGTTATAGGTGGTAATAGGGTACTACGTAGGTATTGGCTGCTAGACGGAAGACTATAATTGCTATCGATCCGTAGCTTTGCTGCATGTTTGAGCAGGGCGCGGGCAGTTTGTTGTGCAATGAGGTAATTGTCACCTGATGTTTGAATCATCAGCTATCACTCGGATTGAAGATTTCGGGTTGGGCATACCTTCGTAAGTTTGCGAGGGAACAGCATTGGCAAACAGAGGTCCAATTCCAGACATGTAACTGAACCCATGCCCACCGAGACATAGACGGGCCTCCTCAATACCGCGTGAAGACTCGGAGCTGACTTTACACTTTATGGCTGTGGAGAGACTATGCATCTCCGCCAGCATGCTAACATCGCCACGCTTCACGATAGCCTCATTCATTTCATAGTACAATTCAAACAACTCTCTACTTGCAATGATGTTTGCATACGCTTGCGCAAGTAGTGGATACAGCCGGTGCTGGACGGAGGCATACGATATGACCTGCCGCTCCTGCTCCGTCGTGCCATCTGAAAATTGCCGCCGGTGCACGCAGTACCGGATTGCGATTGTGACGGCGCGTGCTTGCAACCAGGATACACTTAGTGGGATTTGTGCACGCAGGGCGACCATGGACCCATAGGAGAGCTTGGAGTGCTTTGCGGGGATGTATTCGCCCGCCGGGGTCACTTTCGAGTAGCGGTTTAGCATATTCTCGAGAGGAATGCGGACAGCATCGAAGCGGACATAACCATTATCAGTCATGCCAAACCCGCCGAATGCTTTTGGCCCGATGAGACCGACGGTGATTCCCGGGAGGGGCTTGTGGGTTGTAGGTGACCGAATCGGAACAATGAATAGGTGTGTCCCGTATGATTTATATCCGCCCGGGCTTTCGGGATCGGGTAACTCCAGCTGAGCTATAACTGCGGCATGATTTGCCTGCAATGATCATATCGTTAGTTTTTCTCCAGCCAGTAAAAGACACCGAGTGACCGATATCTCACCAGAATCCCGAGCCCGCCCATCCACCACTTTGTGCTTTCCACCCCTGGAGAGTCGATGACAAATTCCTTTGTTGCAGGGTCATACTGTGCGGTTGTTTGGAGGCCCTGCACATTGTTCCCATGCGACAGCTCGGTCTGCGCGTAGCAGCCAACAACCTCGAGGCTCTGGCATCTGGGAATCCATTGCGCCTGCTGCTCGTCAGAGCCCTGTGCGAGGATCACGGGAGTGAAGGCAGCATTGTGGAGCGATATGACGAGCCCTTCATCTTGGAGGAGGCAGGCGATTAAAAACTCTTGCGGGGTCCAGGAGTGGATGTCGCGGAGCACTAGGAGGCGCTTGGATATTTTGAGCGAGAGGTGCAGGAGCTGAGAGGTGTTGAGGAACGGTCTACAAATGCCAATCAACGACTGTATCCCGAGCTTCAGGGGAGCTGTTATAACTTCTAAGTACCTTTTAGACTTGATACAAAGCGGTTCCTTCTCTAGTATCGCCGCAATTCTGGCACGGGCTTCGCGGTGCCCGTCGTCGTAGAGGAGACTACCGATTTGCCATGTATCGAGGCTTGAGCTTGAGCGCGCGGTTTCTAAGTTGGTAGGCATCTTTTTTCTTGTGTTTCTCGTGGGGGGTATATGAGAGGAGATAGAGGTAGCCATTGTAATATTGGCCAGGTTACCGGTTATTATTATTCTTACGACCCCAGGTCAGGAAAGTGCTGTAGATCGCTTGGGCCCGGCCGCGGCTCATCGCGAACCCCACATTTCGGCGACACGTGCATGGGATACAGCTTGGTCTAAGCTCGTACTTGGACGTAAAGTACTAAGTACATATATAAATCCCAATCGATTTCTCAGGCGATTCAGGACGTCGGAACCCAGAGTGCAGGTTTCGCTGCAATGCGCTCTGGCTGGGGCTCTTGTCTTGGGTTTTCATGCCATTAACAGTATTAAGTTTGGGGCTCTGAGGATCTGGGTGCATATCATCAGTAGCTGAAAGAAAGCATGGATATTAAGGTGTTCAGTAAAAGGTCGTAAATAAGCGTTGCAACGGGGGCGACTTTTCACAACCATTAGAACTTACGTTCTGAATCGGGCAGATTGAAATAGATCACGGTTTGCGAATGAATGACACTGATGATTTGGAAATCAAACGTTAGGTCTAGTGATATGTATGTAGGTACTTCTGATTATATGCAAGCAAATTTAAATGGCGAGTAATAAAACTGTCTTTCGGGGATTTAATTCTCCGCGTGGTATGAGGTCAAGGTAAGCTAGAGAACACGTGCCATTATCATCTTTGAAGACGTATTGTCCACTCCTAGTTCTTTTTTTTTTTTTTTTTTTTTTTTTACGTGTTCTGTATCCCGCTTCATTAGTATCTTCGTGTTTCCCTTCCATTTTCCCTTCTCTTTCTCCTTCACCCAACGACCGGCCATCGACTTCTTTATCTTCATTCCATCATTAGACACCTCACCTGTGATCTGTCTCCTTACTATACAGTTTGCGTAGTTTCTGGCAAGTATCAAGAGAGCCTGTCAGAACCAAAAATAAGACTTGACTGTGTTGGTAAACTACGATTCCATCGCTTTTATCACTTAGTTAGGGATCTAAACTAATGGTCTTTCACATTTTCGGTTGTTTAGATGGGAAGCCGAATTCACCAACGTAACAATAGAAAAGCTGATATGGATTTTTTTATACAAAAGATCGTTTCTCCATCAACGTCTGGCGATATAGACAAGACCGAGGTCATTCTGCCGCTCAAGTCCCTCGCATTCCGCGGCTATAAATGTTTGGGGATGTTTTTATCTCCCCGCGACGTTGAAAATTTAGACAATCTCTCTTACTCAAGTCCGTTCACCAAGAGCCAATTGCCTCTAAATGGCACGGAAATTCGCTTTTGCTTTTGCCCAGAGATTCCGACAACTATTATTCCAATTGAAATTGGAGGTCTTCTTGGAGAAATTGATAGATTGAATGTCAAGGAGACCAAATGTTCTCTACAGAAACAAGGCTGCGAGAAAAAATATCAAAAGTTGGGGGGAGAATTATCTGGTTACAGTGCCAAAGTAAACTTTGGCTTTGTGCTCAGGCATGGGAAAGACGAGGCACGTAAATATCACCTTGACGGTGCCTTAATCCTGGATTTGACCCACACACTCTTAAGTCTTCCTAATCCAATTTGCTTGATTGGCATGGATTTCATGGTCAAACATCCGCACTTATTATTTGAGACAAGATTGGATAAGAGGAAAGAACTTTCTTTTAGATTGGCCAAAGTACTTTCTCGGCATAGAAACCACGAAATCCCAGTTAATAATCAGAACGAGGTTATTGTCAGCGTGGAAGATCATCACAACGAAAATACAGAAAACATTGGATGCGGAATATTTTTTAAGACTGGATCTGTCTTCAACTCCTTCTGCGGGGTAAGCAAATCTGATATGTTGGGCACAGAGCTTAATTACTACCGGAAAGAACGTGGTTTGTTGGTAGGTATCCTCAAGGCTCTGCAAATTGTGGAGACCTTCTCAGCCGGGAGTAATTTGAAGCCCGCATCGGTGGTTATCAGAACCTCGAACGCAGACATCGAAAGTATTCTTTCCCCTGTTAAAGCTTCATCACAAAATCGCCCGCAGTGCTTATGGGAAGGAGATTTTACGGTGAGTGATAGATCTCCTCAAAGAGAATTCCCTCTGGCAATTCGAGATGTTGCTCTGTACTACCACGATAATTTTGTCAAGCGGAACCCGGGATTTAAAATCAAACATCAACATGTCAATAAACCCGATAATCTCGGCGGAGCACTCTCTGCAAAGCTTTTAGCTATTGCAGGCTCTGAGATGGAAGAGTTTTATATTGAATCCGGGTCTATAGGGCTCGATTGTGAAGGATTGCGAGGTTATCCCAAGAAAAGATGGCCAAGTTCGCAGAATGCAGTTCCATTGATAAGCCATCCCGGTATCAGAGATAGTTCAATATACCTATCTTTTGGATTTGACGGCTTCTATTATATTCAACGGGAGAGGACCCATATGGTAATGGATTTGGCGGATCAAGCAGGTTCGAGACTACATGTAATACCTGATGGAAAAAGTCAGGTAATTTCGGGGCAAGATTTGAAGAAGGATATTCACGATCTTTCTAGAAACCCTGGTAGCCTGCTAACAGACACAATCTCTCCTATTGATCTCTCGGGTTTTGAAAGTGATTGGTACACTCGGACAAAAGTTTCCGCTGCAGAGTGGGATTGCGAAATGGGCCAGAGACCGAGCAAGATAAATATGGAGCAGTCGCAGAAAAGAGCGAATAAGGATCACCCAATGAGAGGGAAATCTCCCGATTGCTTAAAAAAAGAGTGGATAGAGTCAATACGGAGGGAATATCGAAATGCTAAGGCCTATTCGAAGTTGGGGGGAGAGGAAGTAGTGGATCTCAGTAAGGTGCTTGAGTTATGGAAAACTGGGCCCAACAAGATGGTGGAAGCAGTTGATAGCTCGAAATTATTATGCCATATTGATTGTGGGTGTAGAACAGAGGAGGGGGCATGCCTATGTAGAGGAGCCAGTGGGAGCATCCAATGCGAGTGCGGTCTGCCTTTAACGTCCCCTAAGGAACTAGATCATCCTCTCCACAAATTCTTAGAACGAGGTCGACTTAAAAGGTCACCACCGCCTAAGTTCACCGGCGAAGCAGGTTATACAGAACAGTGGGGAATTATCAATACACAAAAGTCTTCCTGCTGCTCGCAGAAACACCCAAAATTGGCGGTGGAAGATAATGGAGCATGGGAGTCTGTCTGGTGATCTGGAGATCTGAAAGATCCCAAATGAAAAAGAGGGATTCGAAAGTATATTATTGTTATTCTCGTGGGGAACGGTGGTCAGTGGGCCTTGAATCATTTGTTTTTGCGAAAAGCGCAGGAAGGCGATGCCTTATGGGAAGTAATGATCAAACTACTTGCATGCTTACATGTATGTAAGCCTAAAATTCACAATTATCATAAAATGCTCTTTTATTTAGCCAGAAGTGAGGTTCGTCTTATAAATACATAGGTATGTGAGTAGGTGCCAACGATCTCCATCCGATCAAGGTTTCACGGGAATAGCAATAAAAATCCAAAAGATTGCCAATTTAAGAAGGTAGACTCCAAGCGCAGGGTTTCTATGTATTCCAAGAAAACCGGAGGGATATGCTATACTAGGTATTGAAGTTTTGAGGCCTGGCCCGGATCCTGGAAATGAGGCTATCGCCGGATCTCGCGATGTATCATGAACCATGAGTAATTTAGAACGACTAGGGAACGTATCTAATAGGTTTAACTGTTACTCTACTTAAGTGAGGAGAAATAGTTGAGTTGTTTGAGATATTGAGGCAAATATAGACTATATATGTATCTAACCTCTAGAGGCCACGAGTTTCTAATCTTGTACCAGTAGATGAGAATATATATACCTGATGGCCTACAAAGGCGGGCGGCCTTGTGCCCTTGCCTCTAGGACGGACAGCGTGCCGGACCTCGAGGGCCCCGGGGGCAGAGGTCAATGAGGACGAGGTACCTCAAGGATATTCTCAAACCTCGCCGTTCTCGTGGGCCACACTGCTGACGGGCATGAATAATCTTTTGGGCTGGATAGCAAAGTATTCAATGTTGGGCAATTTCACGGGCATTTTTGATACCTCCGAAGTTCTCCTGTGGTAGATTTTCCTGAGCAAATATGATGCTAATAATAGGAAGATCACATAGATCTCGGATAATAGCGCAACTCGGGGTGAGTAGGAGATCTCACCTCAAGTACGATCGCCCCAGAGACCCAGACCTTGGGATTAGACTCCCGAGATAGATATTGGGAGCCACTCTCCTCGGATTCAGACTCCGGATTAGCGCTCTTGTCCTTACAAGACTGCCTATCATCTGCTAGGGCCTGGGGAGCTAATGATTGGAGAAGGCTCTAAGAAGAGTGGGCAGAGCGGGGTGAAAAAGGTTAGTGAAACAATCCATTGGTAACGATACATAAATATAGCTAAGATCGTTATATCAACTTTGAGAGGAGACCCTAATAGGGACTTGAAAGGTCTCAGGTTCTAAAGCTTTAGAAGATCTCTACCACCATTTTGGGAGGGCTCATATCAGAAAGAGTTGCCTTTGGCAATCTCAACTCTCGCAGTAGTACCCCACGAACCGTCAGACTGGATTGGAAAGAGCAATTTAACGCCCTAGCTGGGAAGCCTGGATTAAATTAACACAGACACGCTTAGATAAGGCAACCTCATCTTGTGGATTTCTTATATGAGATATACATAACATTGCCCTAAATACCTGGCCTGACAGTTAGTAGTAGAATACGGATATCCATGGAGAAATAAGGTCTTTCGTCGTTTACATTAATAAACCGAGGGCAATAAAGGTACTTTCTTTCAGGTACGAGACCTTGATTGACTTTCGAGAGTTCTGGAAATAAAATGTCCGGTGTGTGAAGTTGATTTAAAGTGTTGCAGCGAGGCTGAAAGCCGTATACTAGCCAGGCCAGATCATTAGTTTTAACGTGGCTTGTGCCCGCTCTCATCGACGGGTACCACGGATTTGGGGTTGGATGGGGTGGGGTGGGGGTGGGGGGAGAGAGGGAGAGAAGGAGGGTATCGCCTGATAACCTCAGGGTTCTAGCCACTTAGCGCCGAGTTATCTGATTGGTCGTGCCTCAATGATCGCCCCCAGGATGTGGACCTGACGTTACACGAACTGGAGTATCAAAATAGGAAGTTTCCAAATAAAAACGAATTGGCGCAGATCTAGAGTGAGGCTCTTTTTCCGGCTGGCAGATCCATCCTCAGCCCCCCTTTCTGAGCAGAGAAGCTTCTACCGCTACTCGGATGTCCCGCCTCTAGTGGTGCATGTTACTGCAAAGACAGCACCTACGCACACACGACAATTTCAACAGTGCTTTTCGACGGGAAGGATATGATCGCATTTCGCGCAGAAATGTACATCTAATTGCACCGCGGGTTCCTCGAGATTTGTAACATTTCGCAAACGGTCGGGCCAACTAATGGTTTGGCATGCAACACTAATTATTACTTAACCGATTTGTCAGTAAGCGACGAGTGATTTCCTGTGTTGCTGCGGCTACTATTGGACAGGGGGGTGGTTTAGTTACTGTCTTGTGTAACACCTCTCCTTGTGCATGTGTCTGGATATGATATTTTCACTACATGTAGCTAAGGCAAGTACAAAAAATCCCAAATCACGACATGATTTCCGCACCGGGTGTCGGGGGAATCTTGGCCTCCGGTAGTATTCTAGACAATGATATTCTACTCAGCTTCTGTAATATGACGAGGAGGTCGTTAAAAGTTGAAGAATATCGAATGTTGAAGAATGTTGAAGGAGGTAATCGTTGAACTTCTACTCATCTCATACAAGACACTGACAGCGAGTATAGAATTATCTTGATATAAAAGTTGAACCCAATGGCCGAGAAAAAAGCATCAATTGAGAAAATACTACAGTATCATCCGTTAGCTACAATTATCATTTGCATTGAGAAAATTTCAAAAACCATAATTCTTAGTTCTCAAGAAACGACGAGACTGGAAGATCTAACAAAAAAACCAAAACCCAACACTCACAAATGGAAATTGATTCCCCTCCTCTCGTGATTCACAACGTCCACTTTATCTGGGACGACCTCAATACGCCATACACAATTACCATTGAGAACGGCCTCATCAGCGCCATCTACCCCACCCCACCACCCCCTGCCCACGTCCCCTATGCTACCAATATCAATGGCAACCACGGGACCGTTCTACCTTCCTTCTGCCAGCCCCACATCCACCTCGACAATCCATACCTCATCCACCGCGGGCCACCTATGGTCTGCGGATCTTTCTGCGAGGCGCTGGAATTGACAAATTTCTCTAGGCAGGAGTACATAGAGGAGGACTTGATAGAGCGGGGACGACGGCTCATTATGGAGAATGTCCAGGTTGGCGTGACGAGCATGAGGTGCCATGTCGAGGTGGATGAGATGGTGGGGTTGAAGTGCTTGGAGGCGGGATTGAAACTAAAGAAGGAGTTTGGGGATGAGGGTAGGGGTATCTGTGACATTCAGATTGCAGGTTTGTACTTCCTTTCATATAATATTGCTTTTAAATATTGGGTGTTTCGGGGCTGAATTTGAGTAGTTTTTGCACAGGAAGCCGTGTTCATCGGCGAAGACAATGGCGTGGCCATGCGGAAGCTGTTTTTCGAAGCGTGCGAGAGAGAAGGCGTGGATGCGATTGGAAGTACGCCGTATGTAGAAACGACAGTTGCGCTGGCAAAGAAAAACATCGACTGGATCATTGATATTGGTAATAACACCGACCCTCATCTTTATTTATACCCAAATCTAACAAATATCCCCCCAGCCATGCTCAACAAAAAGCATCTCGACCTCCACCTCGACCATAACCTCTCCCTCCGTAATGAACCCCTTATATACCACCTCATCCACACACTCAAATCCCGCTCCTGGTCTACCAGCATGCCCTCCCATCTGCGCATCACACTCGGCCACTGCACCCGCCTCTCCCTCTTCCCGCCCTACGAGCTACGCCAGCTCCACGAGCTCATATCGACCGACAACCTGCCTATCCACTTTGTCGGTGTTCCGGCGGTCGATCTGTATTTCATGGGCCGCGGCCCCACGGACGGGCCTGCTACGGGTGGTGGTGCGACAGAGAGAGGCACGCTACCGGTGATTGACTGGATTAGGAACTATGATTTTGATGTTGCGCTGGGTGTGGGCAATGTCGGGAATGCGTTTACGCCGATGGGTGGTGTGGATCCGTTGGGGATGGCGGCGTGGTTGGGAACTGTGTATCAGGGTGGAAGTCAGGCGGATTGTAGGGTGCTCTTGGTAAGTTCCACTCTTTCCCCCGTGTGGGTAGTATGTATGTATGCTAATGGTGTTGCGGTAGGAATGTATCACCACCCGCGCTAAAGAAGCAATTGGTATCATGCAGAATCAGTACAAGGACGATGATCGAATGGCGATCTCAGTGGGCGATAAGGCGGACCTGGTGATTGTGGGTCAGCGGAGTAGGGACATGGGGGTTCATGAATTGTTTGTGGAGCCCGGGTATGGCAGGATTGTGATTAAGGGAGGGAAGATTGTTGCGAAGAGGGCGGTTGAGACTTGGATTGCGTAGATATTGGGATTGAGATTTTGTGTTTGTGATTTCTGTTTAGTTTGAATGAATGAATGGATGTATCTCCGCTATTTTGAATTTACGTATTATTTTGTTTAGCACCTGATAAATACCCGCTCATGCCTTCGACTGGTGTAAAGAGATTGTTTGATTGGTAGTAGAATATAGAAAGAAGGAGAAAACGTTGTAGTCTAAAATGACACCGTTCCATGAATGTATTGATATCGAAGGGTTAGGGGTTCTGCCCCATCTTGGCACACTGCCAAGGCTCAAGTATCACTTCCAGCGCAGCATCCACCATGGGCGAGTGGTCTAGTGGTTAGACTGCTCGTCAGGCCAGACACCGAGTGTTTGTTCTCAGGACGCCAAGGGTCCGGGGTTCAAGCCAGGGGTGGGAGTAGTAACTGGATTAAGTCCCCAGTTGCAGTACTTTTTGCTCTTTATTTTTTTTGTGAAGTGAATTTGATAAGCCAATTTAATATATACATGTAGTACGTTTTGCCAAAGCTCTTCCATATATCGAAATCTCTTTTGTTTGTTTTCATCGCTGCCTTGGCCACGACCGGACAGAGATGAAAAACAAAACAAAAACACCCTCCAAGGAAACAAAGTCTCTGAACCTTAGGCACAGAGGAGGAGGACAAAAAAAAGCCTAAGGAACTGATTTTTAAACCTGAGACTTTGCAAAAAATGCTCAGGCAAAAAAAAAAAAAAAAAAAAAAAAAAAACGGTTCCCATCAATGAAAACCAAAAGAGCCGGAGAGGATACGGGCAAAAGGAACCAATTTCCTCTGCTCAAGAAAAAGATCGGACGAAAGCCTCTCCCAAAAAAAAATCTCATTTTGCTTTATTTTCTTCGCTGCCGCGGCCACACCCAGACAGAGAGGAAAACAAAAACAAAAAAAATCCCCCGGAACCCATCCAATCTCTCTCTTTTTTTTTCTTAAAAAAAAACCCCCCAAACCAAAAGGCTCAGGTCAAAAAAAAACTTGGTTTTCATCAAATGATGAAAACCGAAAAAAAAAGCCCCCAGAAACCAAAAACCCAGGCCAGAGCCCGAGCAAAAAAAAAAAAAAAAAGAAGAAAAAAAGAACCCCCAGAAAGCCAACCAACCAACCCACAAAGCAAAACCCGCCCAAAGCCAAAGCTCCCACCCCACAAAAAAGAAAAAAAAAAGAAAAAAAGGAATCCCTCCCCACACAACCACTTTCCTCACCATCTCGGCCACGCCCAGACAGCAACGAAAACAAGAGCGCAGAAGAGAACCCATTGCAAAAAATCAAAAATTAAACAACCCAGGAGGCCCTAAGGCCTCTGGCTGGACTCCACAGACCTCGATGTGCAATGAGGAAGGGAGCCCAGGGGAACTGATATACATGTGCACCAGTCCCCGTCGTCAGGTAAGTATGGGGAGAGAAGAAGGGGAGCGGGGGAACAGCGGTTTATAAAGAAAGGGGGTGGGAATTGCCAAGATTGCGTTTTGGCCGACGTTAGGGCTGGGGGTGGGAGGGGAGGAGGGGCGGGTAACGAGTGTGAACTGGGGTATGGAGAGGGGGGGTACGTGGCTGTAAGAATCTAGGTGGTTATCTAATCGATGGGGTGGGAGATAGTCAGATGAGGAGGGACAACGAGCACACAGTACATAACCCAGCCGCACCATGGCGGGGGGAGTATCAACCAACGTGGGCCATATCAAGATGCTGAAACTACATGTGTCCACTATACAAAAGATATCTATCCCCGAATATAAATATCTTATGAATACTAACAAAAAACTTAACTAAAAAATTAGAAAAAAGAGGAAAAAAGACTATCAACCCGCGGAATAGATACTTGAGGATATCTACATGGGAAGAGAAATTTACCGACTCACCGATACGCCGCCCCCCCCCCCCCCAGTACATAGACGCCAACACGAACCCGCCTCCCTCGTGCGTGTGGGTGGGAGGACACACCAAGCACGACATAGAGCCGACAGCAACAACACCTGCAAAAATCCAAATCTACCCGTTATCCCCCCAGTGGCGCAGGTTCCTCCTCCACGCCGTGGACCCCTCTGAGCTTCATGTTCTGTTCGTTAGCTATGATACATGCCTGGCTACACACCTCTTCGCACACAGACGGGGTTGTACATTACCCAAACCCACACGGCAGCAACCACCCCTCTCGCCCACTATGCAATTAATGAATTAAACAAAAAAAGAAACCCACCCACTACAACCAAAACCGAGTGACACCCCATGACCCACAACTCCATAAATGAGCCAATCACAGGCCATCACTCGTTCCACCTACCTCCATGTCAGCGGTTCAGAGCCTGGAGCGAGTGATAGCCCGTGACTTCATGTAGCTTCTGCACCCTACGTGTAGGGTGAGTGTTTGATTGGCAAGAGAGAATGAAAAAGTTGTATTTTCTAAAAGTAGCTATAGACCTACAAATCACAAGAAGAAGAACGAGAAGAACGAAATGCAGAAAAAGAAGAAGAGGAGCAAGAAAGTAGAGTCCAGGGTCCTATAATGCAGTGGAGGTGGAGGAAGCCGGAGAGATGATGATGGTATGGAGAGAGAGAGAGAGAGAGAGAGAGAGAGAGAGAGAGAGAGAGAGAGGGCTATAGAGAGAAAGAAGGAAAGAAGGAAAGAAAAAAGCAAAGAAGAAAAGGAAATTACAGAAACTATGCAAACCGCAGAAACTACATAAAAGACAGAGAAAAAGAAAGGAAGAAAGAACGAAAGAAAGAAAGCACAAGAAACTACACAACCACAAAAACCAACCCCCGCCCACTCCACCGTCCACATTACCCCCCCCCCCTCACAGCACCTACCCCCTCCTTGCCTTCTTCCCCCCATCGCCCCCCGCCATGCCCGCCACCCCCGCACTCCTCTTCTCCCCCCCCTCCCACCCTCCCCACTCCTCCACCCCCCTCCGCATCGCCGCCAAATCCATCTCCGCATCCTCACTCCTCAGCCCCGGCGGCGGCGGCGCAATCCCCGCCTTATTAACATACGTCATTCCAATCCCCGGGACCCCGCCCAGCACCAAACTCTCCATCTCCCGACTCCTCGTCGCAACGCCCTGATACCCTCCCGCCGCCCCTCCATCTTCCTCATCGCCCTCCACCCCTCCCGTCGCTCCCGCGGCCGCACTCCCACCACCACCCTCATCGCTGTCCTCGGCATCCCCATAGCTCGTGTGCTGCCGCTCCGTAAAGTACCGCACCGTCGCGAGCGACGCCTGGTTTCCGGCAAGCTGCAGCTCCTTCTCCGTAAACAGCTTGTCAAAGCTGTACACGGGCGTATACACCTGCCGCATCAGATCCTCCCTCCTCCTACGATTATCCGTACTCGCCGCCGCTGCCGCCGCCGCCGCTCCTGCTCCTGCTCCTGCTCCTGCTCCTGCTCCTGCTCCCACCGACGCAGACACAGAAAGCTCCAAGCTCTCCGCCATCGGCGGCGGCGGCGACATCGCCGCCAACATCGGCAGGTCGTCCGCCGGCGGCAGCGTGCGCGTCGTGCGCTTCCGCTTCGACGCCGTGCTCGGCGGGTCAAAGTTAATCCCCACCCCGAACGACAGGAGCTCCTCCACCTCGCCCGCACGGCGGCGTGGCTTCCGCGGCGGCGCGTCGTCGGGCGTGTGCTGCTGCTGCGAGGGCTGGTGGTGGTGGTGGTGGTGGTTTGCCTGTGTGCTGCGGCGCGGCGAGCCGATGATTGATGGTGCGAGGCCAAACTGCGAGGGGTGCAGGAGCAGCGCGTTGGTCTCGGTGAGGTCTGTGTAGGCGGATGTGGAGAGGGACGAGAGCGAGGAGAGGGTCGTGCTGCTGTTGGACTCCTTCTCGGCCGCGAGCTTCTTGAGCTGTGTTTTGAGGCGGGCCATGAGGCGTTGCTGGATGGTGGCGCTGAGGGACTTGTGTTCTTCGCGCGCGTGGATGATGCTGCGGGTGTGGTGCGCGACGAGGGAGAGGGATTTGTGGTTGTATTGGTTCTGCAGCAGCACCCGCACCGGGTGGGTCTGTTAGTCTTCACCTTTTCCGCACCTCACCGCACACCGCTCACACCCGGGAGTCAGGAGGGTTCAACATACATACAGCAGCGTCAACTGCGCATCCCTCTCCTCCATGCCCTGATTCACCTTCTCCAAAAAGTCGCCATACCACCTGCCCGCCCCACTCACGACACCCTGGTCCGCAAAGCCCATGCCCGCCAGCGCGTCCTCGACCTCCCGATGTATGGCGTCGCTGCTGTCGTCGAGCGGGCGCATGTCGCGGCCCGAGGCGTCGCATCGCGTGATGAGCTGGATGTCGGCGGTGAGGGCGGCGAGCTGGGCGCGGTAGTGGGCGTCGCGCGCCCGCGGGTTCGCCGGGTTGTGGAAGGAGGTGGTGAGCGTGGTAAGCTTCTCGCTGAGCGCGTGGCGGCGCTTGTCGCGTTTGCTTTGCGGGGCGTGTGGGTGCGGGGTGGGGGAGAGGGAGGGGGGCGTGGGGGAGGGGGAGGCCATGGTTTGGATGTGGTGGGAGGGGGGGTGTTTCTTTGAGGTTCTTGATCAGTTCTCTCCTCCTGCTGCTTCTGCCTGCTGGCGGGTATGCTTTCTTTCTTTCTCGCTCTGTCTCTGGAGTTGATTTCTCTCACTCCTCCTTCCCGTCCGTAAATCGAGCTCTCTGTAGACTGCGTGCTGGCCGTCTCTCCCTTTCACTCGCACGCACTCACTCGCACTCACTCACTCTCACACACTCTCTCTCTTGCCCGTCGGTCTGTCCGTGGTGGGGGTTAACGTCGTGCAGTTCCGGAGTGTTTCCTGTTGTGTGTAGTTGTGTGTAGCTGTGTGTAGTTGGGGGAATTGACCGACTGATCGATTGTCCAAGTCTAACGTCGGCAGTGGTGATTACACAATCCCTTTGTGCGTCCCTTCCACCCCTAACCCTCGCCCCCAGTCGGCGGCACAAACACAAATACCTGGGGAAGGGGGAGGAATGCAATATATTTTGATAGTGTTTAGTGAAGAACAATCAAATCCCCCGGAGATACGTGCCCCGGATGAGAGTGATGATGTAGGATCTCAAAACTGCATAACACCGGTTACAACCACGCCTATTCCGCCAACCTGTCCCACAGCGTGAGTGATGGCTGGTGACTCGGGGGTACATGTAGCTAGCTATGGTGTCTTGTTTCATACGGTAGTGTTTTGGTCCTGTACATACACCGTATTTCCTTCTACAGTAGAAAGACTTCCCTTTCCCAAAAAGACAATGAGTCAGTCACCTAAAACAGGCAGACACCACCCCAACCCCAGACCCGAATCCAAACCAGCAAGCACTGACCGCCGCCGAACTCCGTATCTAATCCAGCTCCAAAAATCATTACTACATGTAATAATTATCACATGAGCCAGCACCATCCCCATCCCCAGTCAGCTTCCTAGTTGGTGAACTCTAGACTGATCCCTGTAGACTGCCTACCAACACCCCGGTAACATAATCATTGGCATCGTCTCGTATCGTATCCCAACCAAGCCTTTTTTTCTTTTTTTTCTTTTGTCAACACCTAACCCAGTTGCAAAAATGTTGATTTCAAAGCATGATCTCCGTCGGATGAACATTTCGCGGCGGGGTTGCTGCGGGATGTGGAGTGGTGACGCATGCAGGGGGTGGATATATTAGGATATATAAACCGGCACCCACTCACCTATCCATCAATTCTCTAATTCAATCATTCAGCATCATCTCAATTCCTCCATCACAGCCGGCCAATATCGCCCCAATTCCCATCCACCCATCAGCCTAGCACCAGCACTTCCACCACCCACAATGACCACCCCCAGCCTAACCCTCTACTCCCACCGCTCGGGTCCCAACCCCTATAAAGTGGCCATCATCCTCGATGAGCTCTCCCTCCCCTACAACACCGTCTTCGTCGAAATGGACGGCTCGCAAAAGGCCTCGCCGTACATCGACCTCTGCCCCAACGGCCGCATGCCCGCGCTCGTCGACCACTCAAACAACGACTACACCATCTGGGAATCGGGCGCCATCATCCTGTACATCGTGTCCAAGTACGACACGGAGCACAAGATCTCATTCTCTAAAGAGATGGACGACGAGTTGACGGGGCAGGCACTGCAGTGGTTGATGTTTCAAATGAGCGGTATGTTGTCCCCTCTCCCTCCCCCCCTCTCATTCCCCCCCGTTCCCAAGTTGCGGTGCTAACGGATATGCGGTATGTATTAGGCCAAGGGCCATACTGGGGGCAAGCGGTCTGGTTCAGCCGGTACCACCCGGGCGACAAAATCCCCAGCGCGATCGAGCGCTACACAAAGGAGATCCGCCGCGTGCTTGGCGTGATTGATCTCGAGCTGCGGAGGGGCAACAAGGAGTGGTTGGTGGGCGGGAAGTGCTCGTATGCGGACCTGAGCTTTGTGCCGTGGAACTTGTACACGGAAACGTATTTCGAGGGCACGGCGGTGGATGGGTGGCGCGAGGAGCTTCCCTATGCGGCGGCGTGGCATAGTAGGTTGATGGAGAGGCCGGCGGTGAAGGTCAACAAAGAGAGGCGGGAGGCGGCGATTGCGGCGGGGGCGCCGGCGAAATAAAGATTGCGAGGGGAAGTCTGAGGGGTTGGTGCGGTTAGATATAGTGTTATTTGTAGAGAATGGGAATTGATGGCTGCTGTGTGTGGTTCTCAATTGATTAGTCGATGTTCGTTCCGCGTCAAAAGTGGGTATTCTACCGAGTGACTGCATATGATTGGTATACTCATGACCGATCACTCGGATCGAAACGATTTCGACTGCAGCTGGCTTATTGCACCAGATTAGATTACCGTGCCAAGCCCACATTTAGACAACTTATACTGCATGGTGAGCCCTAAAATTGTATGACAGCTGCGCCAATCAAACCTCAATCATACCAGGCGTACTCGACGTTTATAATTTATAACCAACGCACTCAAGAGTAGCACGAGCACGAGATCTTTGCATACTGCGGCCCGAGTTCTTCAATTAAGAGTGGATCAAAATGAGGGATGATTCTGCAGCGAGAGGAGGGTGATGATGGTTCTGTTCAAGTGATTCGCCTATTCCCTCGCTATAAATACTGATGTCCTGGATCTGCCATGTTGTTCTCTATCACTCAATGTAGCTACATGACTTTTCGTGTGTCCTCTGGCCACGAAGATGTTTCTGGTTCTGCTGGAATACCAGGGAGCCGGCAACGCACGTTCACCATTCCCAACCCCCTCCTCCGGTCCCCCGTCAAACAACAAGTCAATATCTCAGCAAGCCACGAGACCTACCATGGCAGGAATTAAAGCAAAGATATTCACTCCTAGCTAGGATCGAACGCCGTGGAGTACAAATACCCGATATATGGAGTAGCCAACACTGACTCCAGGGGAGGCACAATCATTCAATTAATCATGGTCGTCGGGTACTTATCTATACCAATTCCAATGCACATCTCCGACCAATACGCATCTCCGACCAAGACCCCAAAGCCCCAAATTCCCCCCCGAAAAAAGACTTCACAACCTATCACTCGGTCCTTGGCACCCCCTGCACGTGCACCCCGGGGACCGAGTGGAAATGGAACACAAACACGAATTAGCATCCGGAACAGAGTATTTCTTATCTTAACATAGCGATTGTCTTTTCGAGGCCGACACCGCTGTTTGGTCCGATGCGCAGAACCCCGAGTAAGCCTAGCTACTCTACTCTATCGCCGAAAGCTTAAGTGAGACAACCCATGATCCCACCCACGCTGGGTTGGGTGGGTTGAATTGGTCGCATAAGTACATAAGGCTCTACTTCGTGTGCTCAAGGCCTCCTCACCAGAATCAGTCACTAGAGATTCAAACTATCCTCTTTACCTCACGAATATTACTCCTCACTCTTCGAGATAAAGACGATAGTGACAGACTAGACCTCTGAGCGACCCTCTGAGCAGTTCCGAAATCGAGTTCCAGCTTCTTTTACCGTTTGCGTGAGTCTACGAGTCCGGTGTGCAGCCTCAATTCGTAGGCTGCTGATCGTTCCGATGTCGTCATAAGTGGATAATTTGGTGGATGGATGAAGAGAGATGGAGGAGGCGGTGCATTGGGTGAATGACTATGGGGCATCAGACATCATGGAAACACATATTTTTTCTTTGTAGATCATGAATGACGATATCCAACCGGCCAGGAGGAAGAGGAGGAGGAAAAGAAGGGAGGGAGGGTTGGAACGGAACGAGTGATAGACCATGCAGCAAATATTTCCTTTGTCACAATTCTTATGTAAAACAGTGCTCCAAATCTGATATTTCTTTTTCTTTTCTCGGATTTCTTTTCACTAAATCGAACCGCATACTCTAAACAGGGCTGAAGCTACAGAGCCGCAATTAATCGCAAGTGCATCATGATGAAGTATATCTACATAAGGCAATATAATCTACACCCATCTGACTCCTTAGACACAGAAACATATCTCCACCAACGTACTAGAGTCGCTGGTCGCCTTAACTAGCACTTGCAAGTACCAAGAGCTGAAACTCCAACTAGCCTGATCCTAGATCTCGCAGACGCCTCCGACACGACCTAATTGGCTAGACAAGCGACTAGTGCAGTGCAGTGCAGTGCAGTGCAGCTCAGCTCTTATCTGTCAAACGTTAACTCTAAGCTCACGTCAACCACGCGATACTCTGTCAGTGGGGCTCAGTCGACCAAGCGAATCAAGTCCTTCTATGTCATATCAATGGCATCGCTTCAATGTATTGCCCTAATGTACCTAACCTGCTGTCAACACTCTATCCAGCCGATCTCGCGAAAATATAAGGTTGCCCTGAAAAAAGAATATAGGGCGTCGATCATGGTTGGCTGGTGGTGGTTTTGTGGCGTTGCTGCGGTTCAGCCCCCGGCCAAGCTAAGCGCAAGCCGCCCTATTGGGTTTTTATATGGGGGTTTTTACATACGGTTGTGGGATATCGAGCCAACTTTAATTGCTGGGTGCATTTTTCTGCGGTGAAGCGTGTAGAGACATGTACGTACGTACAGGAATGACACCTCGTGGGCGAGGTTTCGTCCAATACTGGTCCGGTTGTATGCGACTAAGATCCAGACTGCAGTACTGGAGGAGCATCTTGCAGGTTCAATTGATTTTTTCTGCGCCTAGCCTCATGGTCGATACTGCAGGATCAAGCAAGATGCTGTTGAGCAGAGAGGGATCGAGGGCGTGATAGGGTCGCTAAACCAGATGCAGTATGTACGTGATCATTGACATTGTTTTTGAGAATATTGGTAAACGCAAAGTTTTGCAATTTGCTAAATAAAATACATGTATACATATGGAAAATCGTGTAGATACAGAAAAGAAAAAACAGAACTCCCCCCAACGCGTACAAGCAAGTACATAAGCAAAAGAAACAAGAAATGAATGACGCCCGTCGAGAAATCCCCTTCGACGACAATACTGAAATGATACATTATCCCGGCACATAATGTGTGTATGCAACCTAGCTCCAAATAAAGAAATAGCTAAACAACTTTCCTCCTAAATCATGCCTTACAGTCGTTCGAGCGACTGTCGACATCGATCGACCAACCTGCCTTCCTCCACTCACTCTTTGTGCAACGAGAGTTGTGGCCGAGGACAGCTTGAAACTTCTTAAGCTGGGTAGTAGAGATGGCCATAGGTTGCTGCACGACAAACCAATTGACACCCTCTGAACACGGTGGTGTGGTAAGTGAGCCCTCGTATGTGGTGATGTTACTATTGCCAACAGTGGCATGGGCTTCAACAAATTCTTTCACTCCACCGAACCTGTATGGATCGATTGTTAGATTGGTCTAGTTCAACGTACTAGCTAGCTAGTTCAGGTTCACATACGTTTTCTCTGATAGGACTAGGAGTTCCTTTGTCGTGTCACCACAATTCTTGAGATCTCCGATATTCTTGGTGACTTCTTCAAGAAAAGGGTTGAGCGTGGAGTCATCGAGTTTAAACCAGATTCCGAGGACTGCATTTCTACTCCCTGAAGAGTGGACGAAATGAACCTCTAGAGGGAATCGAACCGGTTTGTCTTCATCCCCAGCACCATGTGTATGTTCAGAAGGAGTGTGGAAGTGGAACTAGATTATGCAAGTGAGGTTAATTCAATTTATTCTCCTATGCGCATAGAAATCTTGCATGCGCATGTTTAATTTAACCAACACATACCTGTTCGAATTTCCATGGGTCCCCATTGAGTGTTGATGTAAGAGGAATGGTCTTATTCTCTAGCATCGCCTCAACTGTATGTCCGTTGAACTCGAACTCGAGTTCACGGCCCTCATGACCGAGTTTCCAGTCAAGCTTTGTCTCTTTATCGGTTTTATCCATGACACTCGGACGGATGACCACTGGTGATTGGTGAGTTGAAGTCCGAGCTATGTTACATTTCTCAACGGCGTTTCCAATCTCCGGGATTTTTGTAAAGCTCGACCATGCAATAGGACCATTTCCGGAATTGTAGCCCCAAGGAGATACATATCCATTAACCCCACATTTTGGCTCTGAAAGTGCTGCTGCACTGAGGGAGAATGTGAAAATCGCTGCCACTTGGAGGAGGTTGAAGTTGAGCATGATGGGCGTGAAAGAGATTGTATGAGGATATAGAGGTAGTATTGCTTTGCGGGTAGTATCTTGGAATGATTTGGGATTGAGATATGGAATATGGGCTTCCTTTTAAACCATTTCCATACCCTATATATGAGGGATTCACGGGTGGGGGTCAAGACTGAGATGGTGGCCGTAAAGACTCAGCCCACAAAAGAAAAGGGAAAGGTGAAGGTCTGGATGATGGTACCCTTTGGATTTAGCTACATGTACGTATACAAAGTTTATTCAGCCCTGATTAGTGTTATGGGAAGCTTTACCAGACTGAGAAGTCCACTTACTGTCGTTATACATCTAGGGTTCACGATATGAACGCCACAAAAGTCTTCATCCAGCTGAATTTCCCTAGATACCGATTCCTGACAACATATATTGAGATTTCAATAGATACCTTTATACTTGTGCGATTCAAACCCTACACTTGATTCCCATGAATATATATATCAACTGATAGGATTTTAGCTCATTTAAAGCAGGTATAGCAATACATGTTTTGAAGACAGTTACCTATGTACTAGGGCTACTGGGCCAGGTGCATTGTTTAACTCAGAGTTTGCGACAATTTTTTCTCTTTCTCCCTTTTTTTCTTCTTTTCTTTGTCTATATACATTTCGCTACACAAAAGCACATGGAATGGCATAAAAAGTCTTGGTAATGGCAATGAGCCATCATAACATGCATGCTGTATCTGTTGCCCTACAGGTGCCTCTAGAGCAGAGTGCAATGTATATACATGTATACATGGGGATATACATGTGTAGTAAACAAAGCAAAAAGAATTAATGGCGACTTTAGTTCAGATCATTAATTAACGACAGCGCTTAATTAACATGTATATATGTTTTCATACACGCTTTTGAGTACGAGTTAGCGCAGATAATAATGGAAATCTGACCTTGCGGTGTCCCACGTCTCGCGGCTCGAGTCATGTATCGTTTCATCAACGAGTCAAGACTTTATCCAGGTTTACCTTTGACGTTCTTGTACGTAGATACACAGCCTTAGAATGTTTTTTGCGAATCTGTGCCTGAACTTAGCAGCAGGGAGTCATCGGATGTCATTAATTCTGGTCGAGTTCAGGTCATGCGTCGTGCCCAGCCTCTCGCCCTAGTGCCAAGGTTCGTGGCTTTATTAAGTGGGTGCCGCAGCAGAGTTTTGTGGAAGACTTGATTTCTTACTTTGTAAGTACATGTACCTACATAGTCAAGGCTGGTTCCGATCGTGAGGAGAGTGGGATGTAGGTACATATGTTCAATTGAACTAGGGCGGACACCTTCGGACGAAGAATTTACTAATAATTGACGTGCTCTGGGTTGAGCCAGTGCGTATGAAAACCTAACCCTGGCTAGCGGCCTCCCAATATAAAGGTATGTAGCCAGTACTTTTTAGTGCTTTTATAAATTTATATTATCGTACTTTGATAGAAATCATGTTTTTACTCAAATCCTATTACTGACAAACGATTCGCAATCAATAACTCCAATCTTTTTAAATTCATTATTTTATATGAGCTCTTCTGCCATGGTGTTTATACCAGCATCGCTCCCTTCGTTTATTATTCGTACATCTCGAGACTCGAGATCTAGAAATTTATACAGATTTGGAATTCATGTACCAATTTCGATCTTCTTGCGCGCGACGGTAATATCAAGCCCCACAAATAAATATGCATGTGCTTTATGCCCACACGCTCTAGGTCTAGTCTCAAGTACTAAAAACCCAGAAAGATATTTCAACTAGAAAAAACAATGATCAAAGACGGTGTGTGAACAGAATATATCTTGAGATGCATCATATTTGATGGATCCACCGCGTCCGGAAGGTCTGTCATCGTCATGGGTTCGATCATTTTAGGCGATAATCTATTCCCTACATGCAGCTTAGTATATATTGGTAGTAAAAGGTGATATTGAATGGGTATACTTCTTAGAGGTACATGTCGTGCTGGTCGTTGGATCTAAACCTTCCACAGGCGCCCCCACTGCGAGGGAGGGCTGATTGAGCATTCGCGCCCACAATGACTAAGGAAATGTTGGCCTGAAATTTAAGAGATTATCAAAACATTAGACTTACCTTTGGGTGTTGCTTAACCTTATTGCTCGTCACAGAAAAACGAGCTCCTAATGCGAACCTGGTTTGTGTACGTACGTTAGCCTATTTATTTGTTTTGTGAACATACATGTAAGTATATGTACTTTGTCAATAAACCCGGAGGTTTGTAGCCTAGTATTTGCATTATGAGTATGTAATAATAATCAACGCGTGTGAACTGGCTACATGTAGTTAGTTTTTTTGCCTCCGTTTTCACCTCGAGTTGATCAAATGATCTGTGGCTGTGGTTAGGCCGGTCAGTGAGCTTTTCAGACTCGTCAGGGTCTTTCCTATCGGCTAAATGGGTTCCCTCTGCTTCTTGGCTTTGGGGGAATATTGGTGCTTGGTCTCTGGTATTTAAAGCCTCTATCAGAAATCGTTCGGGCTTATAGTCGAAACGTTCGGATACATCCCCCTACAATGATTTCTTGACGATTAGCTAGTTATATAATATTATGAGTCTAGAAGATAGAAGTCACGATTTACCTTACAAAATACTGTAACATCTTGGAGGGTGTCATATCTGGTCACTATATGATAGAGATAGGTGTGCCCCACACCGACGTCATCACGGAGATATTTGGTATGAGCGTGAAACATTGGAGGAAGTTTCTTGCCACCTTTCGAATAGATAGAAATCTTAACCCCCGGGTGACTGAGAAATGGACCAAGCCACTCGAGCGCTTCGCGATGGTGAGCCACAACGATTTCGATTTTTTTTGAGGATGGTAACTGTTCAGGCTCTTTAATAACAGAGCTAGAAGTATCGAAAAGCTTTCTTGTGGATGCGGTATGATGGCCTTCAGATCTTCCGCTCTCAGGTGTTACTGCACCTAATCCGATAGGCCGATAAATGTTTTCTTTGATGTATTCTTTTGGTACACCAGAGTCCAGAGCGTGATTTATATAATCTTGGGCATCTTCCCCTTCCAGATTCTTGAGGTCCTTCTCTATTGATTCTATGAGCTTTGCGTTTGTGTCATCTCTTTCCCGCAATTTTTGGGCCAATAAGTCTGCACAATATTCTTTAAATTCCCATACTGATTTTATTCTGTCCATCCTCTCCTGCTCCTCTCTCTTTATCTCCATAACTTCTTCCTCTTTTGCCTTCATCTCCTCTAGAGGTTCGATCTCAGGCACTTTGGGAACATTAATCCATTTTGTCTTCAGTCTGATTTTTTCTGTAACCTCGCGTATTGTCCTTTCCATCTGCGGTATATTTATTTTCAGAGTATTTTCGTCCATAATGTAGTGAGGATCCCTATTTGATGAATGTCCACGTCGGAGCACGGCGAGGTAATGAGTAACTTGATAATTTTCAGCTAGAGAATTTGAATAGAAGATTTATTGACGTAAAAAATTAAAAGAGATATAGGAGCTAACTGGCCATGGGTGGATGTATGAGTGGGAGACCCTGCCATATACATGTATATATAGAGTTTTAATTTTGATTGAAACTTTAATACGTAGTACACAGAATGTTGTCCTTTTTACGTATTGGGGTTTATAAAACACACGTATCTATACCTAGGTACAAGATATATGTAGATAATATACATGTACTTACATCTATACATATATTTGCGTTTGAGCCCTATTGTACGTGAACATGTAGTTATTAGGGAAGACAGATACCTGTAGTATATACATACATGTAACTGCCCACAATCATCGTATTGAGATATACAAACTCAATGATTTATATATGAAAATATAAACATTATAGCAATCATTTGATTGTAAAAGCGTGAAGACAGCGGATATTTGCTGGTGGAGTCTATTATGTACTGGATTAATAGGATACGTACTACAATAATGTACCTTTGGCGGCTCGGCAAGCCGCGTCACACCTTATCATTCGGAGGTTTGTCTTAGCTCCCCACGCATCCATCAAAGTTCAACCTCTTAAGGTTATCCTCTGTTTTTGTAAACACAGAACGACCACATACCTGCTATCCCTTCCATCAACCAATCGCCCTGTCTAGAATTACTCTATCAACAGAAGGGGCTGGATAGAGCGCAGTATCTCTAAATTAAAATGTAAGTCATCTCATCACCGACAATAATCAATCTTCCGATTGATGGAGCCACACTTCATTTTCCGCTTCGTATTTGGCTGATTGAATGAGTAATAGGACCGAACCTAAGAGCACCCGTCATAAAAACTATCACCAACACCCAAAAGATGATGTTCCCGGACAAACCAGAAGCACCGTATTTGTTTCAGATCCTGTGATGGGCTTTCGATTCAATAACACCAATACATCTGGGATGAATGGCCATGTCCCGACATTTATCCCAGAACCCAGAATCCGTGCTGCACAGATCCAATCTCGAAAAGAGACACCGGACCAAGACGATGATAATATCTACACCGAACGTTCCCTAGGGCAGGTTCAAAGTATGATGAGTACGCCTACCACTCTCTTGGAGAAAATCACGGAGCCTCGATTTCTCAACAGATTCAGCACCAATGCCCACGGGATCATGAGTGAGAATGTACAGCAAAGATACTTGTTCTCGAAGACACCTAGTTATGGTCCTTTGTCCATTTCAACCCCAACATCATATCATCCGCTCCCAAACAATGCCCGTCAAATTTCCGATCTAAACTTATTCGACCGTGAAGAACCCCAAGACTATAATCATAGGTTTAAGCCTTTTGGTAGACGCTCGAGCGACGCTCGAGAGCCGATGCCTAAGCTTGGTCAAGGGGACGCTAGGATTGGAGAGGGTATTCTTTTTGGAACAAGAAAAATCGATTCGAATCGGTGAGTTGAGTTGAGCCTCATAATGAAATCATTATCTCATTTATATCATCTGACAAAGTTACACTTGGAATACGGATAGACCACCGCCATTAACCTTTCCTACAACATCTCCCCCAAGGACATACTCTCAACAGGTTACAACTTTTGGATCCAACCCGAGGGAGCCTATACAACATACACCCACTCTTTACAACAGATCCATCCCAGAAAGGTGTATGAGAAAGACCCCCAGTGCCCAACATCTGTCAAGGTTTTCCGGTGATAAGGACTACCAGTATGCCGTTGCTGTAAACGAAGAAGATAACCTACCGCGTACAAATCCATACAGCAACTGGCCTGAAGGTATCTATTCAGACAACCTGGGTGAACATAAGAAATCAAGCTTTCATCAACTTGATGCTACAGCTCCTGTGTTTCAGCCGTCAATGCCGGCCGCGGCTCGTGTCCGCCCGGCCAAATGGAACATCCAATGTAGATGGACCTTCAACCATGTGAATGATTGTCGCTACGGATCTACATGTAATTGGGGCCATGAAGGCGATGAATACATCGATGAACCAGGCATCAAACACTCATTTGCGAACTCGAGCGGCCAAGCGTCGGAGGAGGCTAGTCAACCCCCCAAACAGAATAACAGTAGCTACTCTGTGCACTCCAGGTCTCCTTTTAAAGCTTTATCGAAACAGCAATCCGATGATGGTTCTCAGAAATACGAGGATAGCCCGGACTTTTCATGGGTTGGTGGTGCTACAAATGTAAACAGCTGGATTGGAAATCAAGGGAATGGGTACGTTGGTTATAAAAGAACCCAAAACCTTTCCAATGCTTCCAATGGGTCAGTGGAAGATATTGGGAGCTTGGAAAACCAGCTGAAGGAGGAGGAAATTATCAGCACACGAGCAGTTCACAACATAAAGGACGATAGATTTCAACATATTTCGCAAACTCAGGAGCTCCAGAAAATGGGACCGGAAATCGAAAAGATTTCTGAGCAAATTGAAAGGAATCTGTCTATCGGCTGCATGAATGTCGAAAGGGTTCACACGGGGAAGGAGGATGCACCAGGGGAGAAAGCGATTTGAAGATTAAATCATATTTATTTGCTCACAGGATTTCTGAGGAGTCCGTGGAGTAAAAATATCGGTATTGAATGGACGGATGGGGCTTACATATTCTGACTAAGCCAAGAAAAGTTATGTTATCTTTGTTGAAGTTTTACGAGTTTGCGTCGAGCTATTTCCTTTTTACCCTTTTTTCTCTTTCATTTGAGCAGAGTACATCCAAGGACTGGAATGTACTGCAAGGGGGATTGAAGGTCGTTGTGTTTGATGGATAATATTGGCAGCTGCACTTCTTTCATCCGAGTGATATTCGGGACATTTCCCTTGTCATTTCAAGACAAGTACATGTACTCCTTTTATGGTCTTGCAAATAAATAAATGCTACTTACACCTCTTTCATAGCGACATGATAACGTAATAGTGTGATGCACACATGTATATTCTCAATCAATGAATAAAGCAATCAATGATGATTGGGATGTCCCCTCGTCTTGAGCGAGTGAGACATTATGATGCAGCTGTTTCGTTCTATTTTTAGCTCATTAATCGTTGTTTCGTTCATTAACGTTAGTGTGGATGACCACGGGTTGCACTTGGTAATCGCTTATAGTTATATGTGTTCCCATGGTATTGATTAACTTAGTGGAAGTAAGATATGAACGCTTGATTCTAAGATTTTCAATGATGGTAAAATGCGGTATCCACTGACAAGGAGGAATCAGTGAGTATCTATATTGTTGCTTCTAAGCACTCCATATTCCCGGCTTCCATTCTCACCACGCTCATGTGGTAATCATAAACCGCCCAGGGCCCTTTATCTTCCTCGCGCTGCATAGTCATAGCATGAAGATTAGCTCTCGACCTGGACTGTAACTCACTAATATCCCGATTATACACAGTAACCTCATGTTCCAGCGTATTCTGGGATAGTAGCCTAGCACGCTCCATATCTAGCGTCTGCAGCCCACCAGGATTAGTGTTCCATTTAGTCATGCGCTCCAGTATCTCATCCTGAAAAATTTCAATTTTTGAGCGTGGCCCTGGCTCGGGGTGTTTATATCCCGGAAGATATGAGAAATTCTGTCTGCAGGTTGGAAGTGGGGGAGGAGGAGATTGTGATGGCGAGGGTGATTTAGGCCAGGGGATATTCACCACCAGGGGAGGAGTTTCCTTTGAGATGGAGGGCGCCTGCTGCTGCTGCTGCTGTCGTTGATTGATAGCACTCTTAGTTGCTCTACCTCCTCCGCCTCCCTCTCCCCCCCCCCTCCCCCCTCCCCCCTCCCCTCTACCCCCTCCTCCTCTTCCACCTCCTTCTCCCTCACCTCCTTCTCCCCCACCTCCTTCTCTCCCACCTCCTTCTCTCCCACCTCCTTCTCTCCCACCTCCTTCTCTCCCACCTCCTACTGCTGCTGCTGCTGCTGCTGCTCCTCTCCTCCCTCCTTCTTCATCTCCTTCTTGTAATATGTCTAGGTTACTGGAGGATGCAGACTTCCGTTTAGTCGAGCGGCCTTCTTGGTCTGGAATATATATTGCTTTCCGTTTCACTGAAACCTGTGGTGGCTGTTCCTGTGGGCGATTCGGGTTAAGAGGCGAGCGACGATACTGAATTTGTGGTCCTGGGGTCGGCTGCACAAAGGTCTGTCGATCCTGTAAGCCTGGTGTCGATCCCATCTGCATAGTGGCCTCAGAGGTACGTTGAGTTAACTGTCCTTCGCCATGTGTCGGGCCACTCTGGGGATTAGCCATTCCACCTTCTCCCAACGATTCAAGATAGATATATGATGGGTAGTAGCAGCAAAACTCACATCTGACCGCTCACTACCTCTCAGTACAGGGGTCCCCACCATCACCGGGCCGGCGGGGGAAGACCCATGCCCCATAGTGCCCTTATTGCGCTCTTCACTTTCACATATGTAACATATCTGTTCGTGCTGAATAATAAAGCCTCCCACGGGGACGCGGAGCGGGCAATTGTACTGATGGTTTGAATTTGAATGTTGAAGGGCGTTTTTGCATAGTTCTACCTTGAGCCATTCAACTACCCCATGACTGCAGGGGAAAGTGAGGCGTTGGTAAAAACACATGGTCTTTTGATCGATCCGGTAAGGTACTAGCTAGCCGTGTAGAGATATTTCTATATTGCCAAGCTGGAAGGAAGAAGAGTAACGACTCTTGCGATGGATTGAGAGGTTCTAGTTTAGGATGTCTGAATAGAAGGCTATGCTTAGGAAATATCTGGAATGAGGTGTTTTTTGGCTGTCGCAGTGGTCCAAATACCAAATAGATACATATAGTTGGTAGAATTCTGTAGAGATCAGTGGTCAAAAGTAGATGAATTATAAAGGTGTTTGTAGCTTAAAGGCCCTTTGTTGCGATTATTTGAAGATTCTCTTCTTTGCGCATACATATAACTACCTTGATCATTTCAACGATCACACTCTTTGTCCGCCAAACCTGTGCAGAACGTAAAACGGTATAAATGTTATGAAACAAAGGTTTGAGGCTATATTATCGTGGCCTTCAAGAACGTAACTTCCTCTTAAAGCTCTGGTGTGGTAGTTAATAGACATAAGTTGACCAAAGTGCGTTGATATATAAGGAAAAAAAACTGTAGCTAACGAGCTTGAAACACTTATTTTCAATTGGCGCACGCTAAAGTAATGTTACTAAACAAAACAAAGCGTAAAATCTGCCTACAATTTCAGTGCCTTCTTGATTTCTTCTCCCAAAGGTCCAGCGCTCGCAGGGTTTTGCCCCGTAATCAACCTTCCACCGCGTCCAATGCACACCTTCTCACCCCAAGGCTCCGCAGCCTTCTCGTATTTGGCACCTCTGTTGATCAACTCCGTCTCCAGCATGAACGGCATGTGCTTCGACAGGTCTACCGAGTCCTCTTCAGCGTTCGAGAATGCGGTCACTGGCTGGTCCTGCAGCAAGTACTCCCCGTTCGACAACTTGACATTAAGGAGGGCCGCAGGCCCGTGGCAGACTGCAGCGACAACCTTGCCGGCTTCATAAAACTCCGTAGTGAGGGCCTTTGATATCTCATCATTGACAAGATCAAACATTGCTTTTTATTCCGTCAGCAATTGAGTTTCTCAGTATACCAACTCACGTAAGGAACTTACGTCCGTGACCACCAACGAAGAAAATAGCGTCAAACTCGGATGCGTGGCCGACGAAGGCAGACAACTTCTGGGTATCCTTGTAGGCGGCCTCCTCGTTCTTTAGGAAGTCGGTAGAGATCTCGTCGTTCTTGAAGGCCTCAACTGAGTTCTGATCAAGGGGAGCCTCTCCTCCGGCCGGCGAGGCGACAGTGATGGAGACATAAGGCTTCAACAAGTGGTATGGGTGTGCCATCTCAGGCTGTTGCGGCCCAAAGGTTGTTAGCATCCATCTCCACGACACACCTGTTAAGGGGAAACCTACCAGGTACCATCCAGTTGGCTTGCCGGTATCACCGAGCTTGTTGTGGGAGGTGAGAACGAAGAGAACTTTTGGCTTGGATGAGGTGGCCATTGTTGGATATTATTAATTCAATTGATTCTTTTGAGTTGAATATTATTGTTTAGTGTGTAGTAGTAATTGTAGCTAATGATATAATCAACAAAGCTCGGGGGAGAGCTCGATTCTTTATACCTCTCCTACGTCATTTGTCATTTGGTGGGGTACGGAGATAAAGCCTGCCAATCTCCGGGATATACCGCTTCGAGCAGAACGCCTCCCTAAAGAAGGGCCAGAAGGGAACGATCAAGGAATCAGATAGAACTTTAAAATCTGATGATGTAAGTGAATCTAACTTGATAATCCGAGGTTTAGAGTTTAGGTAGTGGCTTGGCTGCAGTCTGGGTCTGGCTTAGAAATCCGGGAATGTGGACAGGTGGTACGACGACAGCTCAAGGACAGCTAACTATAAAAGCCCGTTTGGGGGGGGGGGGGTAACGTATCATGGCATCCGCAGTCCTCAATAATTACCGTCTGAGGCCTCTTGGTAGGTCTATTTATTTCATAGAGAAAGCAGTTTATCGCAGATGAAGTGGTGATGTAAGATCTGATACGGGTGTCGAGTGATAGCCTGAGAACCAGAGCCTCATCCTTATCTTATCAGATAACAATCAGCTACAATAGCACTGATCAAAGATGCAAGAACAGACTTCACCCTTAAACTTCACTCAGGCACTGATGGAACAACGCAATTGATTAACGGAATGACTTAGGCATCCCGCCTATACTAAATTTTATAATAATCACTTCAACTTTTCATCCCCTGAAAATAAAATACATAAGAAGAAATATAAATAGTAACTATGCCAGCAAGCCCCACAATCCACCATTCCGGCTTTACAAAAGATTTAATAAAAAAACACCCGTCTTCTCTAATGTCGTCGTCGTTTTATAACACTAACTTTAAAAAGGGAACGAAAAAACCAAGAAGGAGATGCTGATCGTGCAGAAACGCTTACAAGCACTGGGAGTAGTAGTCGTTCTGTTGGACACAGCTGCATCCAGAGACGCAAGCAGTGGCACCAGTCCAGAGCTTTCCACCGCACTGGTAGTACTTGGCAATAGTGCCAGAACCAGAAGCGGGAGCAGAAGTAGCGGCAGCAGGAGCGGTGGAGGTCTTGACAGCCGCCTTGGTGGTGGTTGGGACAGCAACCTTGGTGGTGGTTGGGACGACAACAGCTGCGGTGGTAGTAGGGACAACAACGGCGGCAGAGGTAGTAGTAGGGACAACAACGGCAGCAGAAGTAGTGGTGGGGACAGCGGCAGTAGTAGACTTGCTAGTAGGGACAGCAGCGACGGCAGTGCTGGTAGAAGCACTCCCGCTACCGCTTGAGGTTCCGTCCCAGACAGCAGGACCGGGGATTGTATAGGTGGTCGATCCACCGTAAAGGTTGAACAGAATGCCGGGGTCAGTGGGGCTGTAACCACCGATGAAGTTGAATGTTCCTGGAGGAGAAACAGTGCCACTTCCAGAAACGGTGACCTGGGAGCACGAAGGGTAGAACTGCGCACCACGAGCACTGTTGACGGTGTAATCAGTGTCGGCCTCGTGGAGAGCAATGATCTCAGCCCTCAAGAGGTAGTCGCCAGAGGCAAGACCTGAAGGAAGGGTAAGACTGTGCTTGCCCTTGTTGGCAATGAGAGTATCGACGGCCCATGTTCCACCGGAGAGACCAGACTCGGCGAGCTTGGTCCAGACAGCGCCAGCTCCGTTGGAGGCGGCAGGCGCAATGTAGACTGTGATAGGCCCCTTGTGGCTGCCATCAATGATATCGTCGCCACGGTTGTCGTGGTACCATTCGAAGGTAACCTTGTCACCAGGAGCAACTGGGACGCTGGCAGAGCCCTTAGTGTTGGCAACGTTACAGATGATATCGCTACTCGCTACGTTCTAATAGAGTTGTTAGATATCTAAAGGACCTGGATCAAAATTGAGCAACTAAAACTTACCTTAACAGGGCTGTTGCTAGGAGGGCTGCGAATGTAAGTGCTACGACCATCACCTTGGTCGACATCATTGACCCAAAGACTCCAAACGCGGGTGTGTGCCTCAGCAGCACCGAGGAGAGCGGCAAAGACCGGGAGGAGAGCAAATGCTTTAACCATTTTGAATAGTATTGGTTTTTTTGGTTTGAAAGGGAGTGAAAAACGACTTTTGTAATTGATCAAAGAGTGGAAGACGTTTAGGATACCAGTACCCGGGTTTGAATTGAAATCGGCAACAAAAAGAGTGAGCTGCGGATGAAAGAAAGTGAAGAAGGAGAGTAAAGCCTCAAGCAATAGTAATGAACAGTGAATGTGAGTGTGGTGAGGAGGAGAATAATGCGGGCAAGAAGTTTACCTTATATACCAACAAAACTCATCCCAAGATTCCCAACTAACGAAAAAAAGAATTATCCGAGCCGCAGTAATAATTCCAACATATGATGATATCTAACGGCTTGGTGGTTCGACATGGCCATGGATAGTACTTGTTGTCGGCCATAGATTGCGGGGTCTGAGACCAAGTACCTATGTGGCGGAAAGGCATATAGTACTGCAGTAGTAGTAGTTAGTATGTGTGGGATTAGAATACACCCCTGTCCTGTCATCACTCCAAAGTGTTTACATGCGCCTAATAATCACAGCAACAACAAGAAGATATAGCGACTAACTAGAACTGTTAGTAGACGGCATACCATAGGAATCCTTATAGATTGGTACCACATATCAACTTTTAGAGTAAGGCACAATGTATTTCCTTTCTCCTGCTTTTTTTTCTACATGTATGTACCTACTAGTTTTTGTCGTTCTACTGAATTCTTGCCTCTGTCGCTGACTGGTCACGGGTGGCCTATCCAATCTCTATACTCTCGCATCTTCAGTGACAAAAACGGGTTTGCGCGCGTACTGTTGCTTTGAGAGGAGGCTCGAAGCGTTTAAGTCAGTATCAGATATATAGTAGGCTATTAAGGATTTTAACCCCCATGTCCCTGCTTATCGGTGTCGGCCTATGCCGAGCGTTAGTTATTACTTCCCTATTCAGCTCCACCTCACAAATCCGACAGCCCGCACTATAAACGAAGCTCCTGGCATAACTTAATATCGGCGAAAGGGGCTTTTGCAAAACGTAAAACTCGCTTAGCTTTTTTTTTTTTTGTTTCAATGGTAAAGTTTGGCGGGTTAGATGCAAGAGTTGACATTTGGTAGAAAATAACTATGCAGATGTTATTAGGAACCGTACCCCGTGTCTAAATGCACATCTACGAAGCCCGACAAGTACATTTTGTTCTTTACATCACGTCCTCGAAGAAGGATATCATAAAAGTCCAGTTAAGAAATTACAGCATCTTCTGGAACAACTCAATCCTTCGATTGCCAACTAGCATTGTGTCACACGTATTGCAGAGCGCCGAACCCCTGCCACAGTCGAAACACTGACCCGTCCTGTCCTGTCAATCCAAAAACCGCGCTAGGAGAGAAATCTCACGACAATATCTACGCGAAGGAAGGAGTTAAAATACTGGTGAAACTCCGATCCGCTTCCACGCACATCCATTCGGGCGAAAATACGAGAGCTACTAAGCTAGCAATCATCACTCGACTCACCCAGCCGCCACATTCCATCTCCGTATTGCGATTCAGGGGGGATGCTGCCACTCTAATATTTTACCAGGAAGAGCTACGTACCTATACCACACATATACCCGAATTTTGGCAGAAGTGCCACTTTTCATACCCAGGTTTCCTAACGATCGTAAACTGGGTAGCTAGCCAGCAGCACGGACCTCCACGACCACAACCCCAGCTCGCAACGGATAATCTGTATGTTCCGGATCCTTGAATATCGGATAAAACAAGTGGGAGGCATAACAAGCTTAACGGCCCATCATAACTAGCTATGTATAAAGTTATTCCGGCCCCCTCCCATCGAGCGAGCGGTCATTGCGGTATCTATCTTGTAGGATTCGAACGGTACGAGAGATGTCCTACCCCTTCCTGGGCACAACTGAGCCGCAATATTAGGTAAGAACACATACGCTGGTGCCATCGTTTTCACCGCTTCCCCCTCTTCAGTACCACGGGCACGTTCGAAATTCTATACTCCCCACTATAAAAATATATTACTTAGGGCTACCTAACTTCCCAGAGAAGAAGCCGCTTGCTTTGGAAGAATCACGTAATTTGCATTGGCTTCTCGGTGAGATACAATATAGTACAATGTGCATGCGCTTAATCTTAAGCATTTCTCCCTTCCCGCTGGATTCTGTTCTAGAGTGTTCTAAGGGCATTGGGATAGAGTGTCTGAGCGTTGAAGGTGGTTGGTATCGCGGGGTTTCGATCATGGTGTATCACTCGGATTTCGCAGAAGTAAGGGTGTCGCCATCTACAATGCGGAGTTTTGATTTCGGGTAACCGCCGCAATGGGATAAAAAAGTGACACATATCTACATGTATTTCAAATACTCGCTCCTGCAGGCGCCGCTAGGAACCCGACAAGAAAAACCCTCTCCTGGCGACAATATTGGTACATCTCGACATCAAACGGCAGGCGATTACTCCTCACTTGCCACATAATCTGGTACTACCACTGGTCTAACTCTCTACCGCTCTGCATCTCCAGAAATAAAACCAACCAACCAATTCGCCCCTCTGGCCCAGGATCTGGTTATATAAATTGCCTGGTCACATATAGCCCCCCTCACTTTCCGTACTTGGAAAGTACCTAAATACATTACTAGACAGGCGCTTGGATAGAAATATGTACTCCATGCATGAGTGCTCTACCTTTTCAACTCACAATTCGTGCCGATACGGAAGGTGACGGCGTCCAGCTTTTGAATCCTAACTTCAGTACAAACCTCACCCGAATAGCTAGAAGAGCATACCACAATCTGTAATGTAGGCAAATGATTCAACCAAACTGAGGAAGCAGACATCGAAGTGGAAGAGGGTTCACCTCTACTCGTCAGTATCGGATCGAGCACGAGTGTCTCAAAGGGAGGTTCATATAACATCCGCATACTAAGATTAGCTGACTGTGTGACTGTGATTACCTCCTACCTATATATTACTTGTGCCTGTGCCTGTGCCTGAGATCGATAATCAGCCGATAGATTGATTTGCATGTGTTCCTTGGCCTCGGCATCGGCTCCTGCGCACCGACATGCATACCTCATCTCATGGCCGGATGCCGAAACACAGGGATCAACCTCGCCCGCCCCAGGCTCCTCCTAAGTCAACGAACATAGTTCTACACCCCGAGTACCGCACAAACTCAGCATAACCCTTTCCGTCTGGGCGGCTTTCCTATACGCGGACGGAAACTACGTAACCGTGGTTGAATGCTAAGAGCCTCCTGGCCGGTTCTCACCACGGGTTCATGGGCTGGCCATGGAATCCGGAAGGATAACTATAGGACAAGAAAGCTCCGGAAATTTTCGCTATCGTTATAAAGGTAGCTGTACTGAAAGCTGTAAGGGAGCGGTTCTTGTATGCTCTATGTGATGGGAGGTAATATAACGGTAAGAGAAAGGTCTCGCTCTTTCGCAGCCTCCGACCCCGTACCCCCGGCCCACTTTACTGCAGAATCTAGAGTTGTAGATCGTTACTTTCGTCGCAACGTTAAATCAGTTAGCTAGATGGCGGACCAATTCCATGTGGTCTAAATCCCGGGATCGGGAGGCCACAGGCAACGGTTCATAGCTAGTATCTCGGTCACCGAGACAAGACACACGGCCATTAGTCAGGACTATGAGGCCAAATTCATCGGTGAAACCAAACTCTAATGGAAGTTTTGGTACGATTACGAGGAGTCGAAGCGCATGAGTGGGGGTCTAGTAGGACCCCGGTGCAGGACCCAGGTAAAATATTGTCTGGGTCATTGCCAAGACTCAGGGGATCTCACTCGGTTTTTCTCGTTCTCGAATTGCTCGGGAGGGGTAGGAAGTACCATTTCTGGTGGTTGCATGTTGGAAAAGGCTTCGCTGTTCGTATTCTTAGACTAGAAGCCAGGAGAAAACAATACGAAGGATACAATACTGTCCCGCTGCCCATGTGAGAATAGTTACACAATGACATCAATCGTAATAGATCACTTGTTTCGTAATTTGGGCGCGGATTAGATAATAATCGGGTACGAAATACATCTAGTACCGAGAGGAATAGAAGAACAGAGTCAAAAAGGATGGGATAATGGAGGGTGGCATGTAGTACTCTGTGCTCTTAATGGTAGAGAATCACTTAGTGCTATCGAATCTACAAGACCTGCAAAAGTTATAAGAAGGCCAGCGGCTCTTCCTTAATGAATTCGCTATTTTCTCATGACATCCACAGTGGTAATCATATTCAAACACTCACAAGTCTTCAACACGATATCGGTACCAACCACATCTTGATAACGCCATACTACCAAAGATATAAGAAAAAAAGGCCTATTCAGACCCACAAGCTCCCAGTAACTCACGGATCCCAATTCTATCCTCAAAGTGAACGGGAAAAAAAGAGAATAGATAAAAAATACAAGACAGTGCCTCCCAAGAAAAACCTCTTTTTGTAACACCAGAATAATAATAATATTCCTTCAACCGCGCGCCCCCCACGTTTTCTACACTTTACGCAGACTCCGAGACGACTTCTGTTTTTCCCGCCCCTTCTTCCAGGATTCCCTCCAATGCCTCCAGATGCTTCTCCAGCAACACAAGAGCTCCCGCAGAAACCCTACCCACACCCTCGCTCCCGACTTCAGCAGATACTTCGACGCCCTCAGTTTTCCTTGGAGCCGAACTCCTCGCCACGACCTCTTTAGCCCGTTTGATAACCTCCTTCAACAGCTCCGGCCCCTCAGACTGTCCAGGCATGTACAGCCACTTAATCTCATCCTCGAAACCCAGGACAGGTCTCTGCAAAACGTGCTTGACAAAGCCACGTGCTAGAATAAATGCCTTCTCAGAGTAAAGGGCCGAGTTAAGTGTTGCGTCTTTGGAACCAACGTAGACGTTAAAGCCAGCCTCATCTGCATGGAGGGGCCCATGTCAGCGGCAATTCACGCATTCGATTTTCCCAGCACTCGGGCTCCAGAAAAGGAGAAAAAACACATCTTGAAGGAAAACTCACTGTAATATGGCTCCCGGACGAGTACGAGACCCATCAAACTGACAAGCACCTGCAAAACAGAACTTCCGTTGGGGCTCCACCCTTCATTCCTTTTCTCCGCATGCCACGTTCCTAAGAGACTTAGGCATATTTTACCATCCTCGTATAAATTTGGATTGACCCTTCCTATTCCTCCAGTCCAGCTATGAAAGTGCGCCAGTGGTGGCGAATGAGGGAAATTTGCCGAGAAATGAAAATCGAACACGAACGGGGCAAGTTCATACGGCGTGTTGAGAGGGCCAATGATTAAGACTCTCATCAAGTCAATTCGGCGGTCCCATGTGCGCACGAGGATCCCATCAGGAAGAGACGATGAGAGGATTGCATGTTCCTTATTGATTCGTCTAAGGAACTTGGGATCTACAGGAGTTTCGGGCTGTCCACCAAATGCATGATCTGCAGGAACGGCGCTTTCCAATATCGCAAATCTCTCCAGTTGTTTTGAAGAAGTGGGAACAGAAAAGGCCTGCGGCGCTGGTATGCCTTCTGGGATTGGTGGAGGAACTAATATTTTATCATCCGTGGGCTCTTTTTTATCTTCGTTTACCGGCTCTGCATCCTTTCCAGCACTAGGATTACCCATCATAGTATCGCCATCATAATCTAGACTGATCGGTTGTTTCGAAACAACAGAATCATCTTCGAAATCCATATCATCCGCCTCATCGTCTGTTGACCATGCTTCTTCGCCACCATCATTTTCTATCCTTTCACCGCCTTGATAGTATACCTGTTCGTCAATAACTATATCATCTCCCCTCCATATTTCGTCGTCATCGTCATCAAATTCGTCATCTTCATCCGATCCACTCTCTTCGCTATCGTACTCATCGTCTTCATCATCCTCATCACCAGGTGAATCAAAGTCCATCTCACCAGTGAAGATAATATGTAGCCGTTCGATTGAAGCTTTAATATCCTTTGGCTCGTCTAAGGCACCGAGACGTACAGTGATTAGTCCATCTAAGCCCAGATCAACAACTTCGCCAATCCATTCCAGAGGTTGATTTAGATAGAAATCTTCGTTGTTCATGTTCCGAGGAGCTACAACTGGGGGATTTGTATTTTCGGAATGATTTATCAACGGGAATTGACTCAGCATCCTACTGACGGCTTGAAACTGCGGATGGTTACTAGTCCCTAAAGCTGCGCTCAGATTTGCTAATAATCCGCCATCGATCATCCCTCGCAGGCCATCTGCCATCTGCTGCAATTGACCCCCGGAAGACTGCTGATTTGTTGGATCAACAGGAGTGGTATCGCCGGCGCTAGTCGTAGTTGATTCTCCTTGCTCTTCAGATACGTCCTTTTCAGGTGCAATAAGGACGAAATCACCCCTCCTTACGCCCATAGCTTGGTGGGCATTGACCTCATAGAGACTGGCGTCCTCCACTTTATTTCCTAATGTTCCAGTCTTTGATCCAGGAATCATAATGTTTCCTGCGATCTCTACTTTTGGATCTGCAAACCAGATTACCTTTGCAACCCTTTCTGCTGGGTTTACAGTCTGAACGACACCAACCTTCTCAGGCTTAATAAAATCCGGCACAGGGACTGCTTCTGAAGACGGCCCAAGAAGATTTTCATTGAAATATTGCCAGGCCCCTTGGAATTGTTGTCTTCCATCATGGTCGATTTCACTTGGCTTGGCCTTATCTTCAACTGGCTCCTCTTTGATGACGACCATTTCACCTGGCCAAACATCGTGCTCATCGACATTCAGGTATGGCACTATCCCACGAGCTTCCTCGAGGGTCTCGGTCAAGTCCTGCCACATCACTCTTACACGAGTCTTCGTTTCAACCACAACGAAAGTGTTGATCTCAAAGCCTAGAGATTCGCTTCTTGAGATTTTCCTGACACGACCTTGGTATTTTTTTAAGGCCGCCTCAAGATCTCTAAAACGGACTCTATCCCCCACCTCCAGTGAGCCCCCTGTTTGAGTAGCATCCATGCTCGCAAAAAGCTTGCCCTCAAGATCAACGTAACCCCCACGGATTTTGTAAACTTCTTGAGCTTTGAAATCTCGGCTTCTGTTTCGATAACCATATCTGGTCTTTGGACGGGCACAAAACGACCAGGAACGATTATGTTTTGACATAGCCAGGTCACATGGAGTTTTGAAGTAGTGACATCCACAACGACGCCAATAGGAGGGATACTTGCATTATATGCACCATACAACCAACGACCTCTTCGGAGGTTCGCTTTGTTCGTTGATACAGTCTGACCCGCGGAAAGGTGATACGGTGAGGGAATGGTTTTTGGTCTGGACGGTCTCCTCCCAGATGTGCCGGTAGGTTTCCCTTCTGCCTTTCCTTCTCCAATTCCATTTATTAGAGAGTTGATATTCTGATGTTGTGCCTCCTCCTCCGCACTTAATACCGGAATCTCAAGCTGCCAGGCGTTTTCAACAACGACAACACTTCCGTTCTGAAGTCGCACGGCAACCTCATCAAAAACCTCTTCTACTACACCCATCCAGCAATTCTTATATATAACAAAATCACCATTGGTCCATTGCCTTGAAAGCACCAGCTCCTGCTCCCCAACGTCTGGAATAAGACCATAGTTTTCCGTCGGTTCGTGCGGGTCGACAAAAGAGTGACGAAGGCCAACCGAAGTGGACACAGAGACAACTGTGCCGGAAAGGGGAGATGTTAAATTCTTTTTAACAACATCGCCAAAGGCAAGAGCGCGATCAAGAAGGACCAATTCTGATTCGTGGAGGAGCATGGAGGGCATAGCCGGAGACGAAGGCGTAAGGAGGAGATAATTCCGGGGTGGCTGGGAGCGACGATGTTAGGTATTATAAAATCATATTCTAACCGGGGGCACAAACCTGTCCAGTTGACCGAAATTCTATCACGTCTTCATCGGAGGCGTATTTTCCTGGAACACACTCATCTATTTCTTCCCAATTGTCCAAATCGTCTATGTCATGCCATGTTTTCTATAGATTAAAAAAAAAATTAGACTTGTTCTGCTAGAAAGCATACGAGACAATAACGTACTGCCACAACGCCGATGGTGTCTGGCGAATCCTTCAGCGCACAGGTATCTTCTACAAAAAACTAATTCCCGCCACAAGTCCGTCAGCTCAGTCACTACTTGTCAAATTCTGTCATTCTCTGTGCAGGTATACATACTGTATCCCATACTTCGCCCTTGGGGATCTTTAGGCGTGACCCGGGATCTCTTGACACATTTGGAGGCGGTCTCGTGGGAGGGATTTGCTCAGAGGCGGTGGGAAGTGACATTTACCGTTTTGTCCGTGTATTCAATAGTGGTTACTGTGTGGCCTCAGAGGATAGGGGGCGTTGACGGTAGGGATGCGGAGGGTACGAGCCTAGGATGTCGAGTTTGTTCCTGCTTCTTTTGAGGATCTCCTGCAGTTGCGGGTGAAACACTTGTAGTCGACGTCAAAGCTCGAAGACATGTGGAGGGGTTCAATGACTAAGCAGACACATGGAAACCCTTAAACTGGAGCTAGAAATGACCTGATTGGGTACAGTATCTCAATTCGGCTTATTAATCAAAATAATTCTGGCGGTACAGGTACATACTCGTTTTGTATTGATTCTACATGTAGTTTCTAGTCAAAACAATGTTCTTTTGTAGTACATGTAAGCAATGCGTATCTACAGTATAGTACTCCCCGATGATTGGTCAGTTCCTAGGTAATCCGTTCTTCATATATTATGATATAGTTAGGGCCCGTTTAGGAGCGGCCCAAACCGGAGTTATGAGGGGGGGTCAGGAGGTATGTGGGGGGGTAAGAATGGAGTTCTGGCTGGGGCTCCGTTCTGAGAAAATAAAATAGTGTTTGGCATATCATTTTGCGGGTCCAGAAAACAACGGCAACGTCTCCTACTCACTTTTCACTGACTACATGTATTGTATCTACGTGTACCAATACAACCAGTACTAACCCGACCATCCTTAACATCATTAACACATTGGATTAGCACTTCCAAACAGCACACGACTTTGGAACTCCGTTTCAAAATTTCTCGCTATCGGAGGTTAAGCAAAACGTTGTTTCCTATCCCAAATAGGCACTTGCATGTATGTAGATGTTCAGGCCTAGGGATCAAGTAGCACCCATCGGCCGGGTAATAAATACTATTATGCCAACCTGTGCCAAGCATCTTAATATGCTGTCACGCCTTGTTTCGTTTCGTTTTCTACTACCTTCATTTGAGTCCGAAATTTCGAGACGGAAAAAAACACCACTTCCATACATCATCACAATGTCAGAACCCATCCCCGAGTCGATTCCCACGTCCCACGATCGTCGTTCAAAACGACCGACGAAGCGCCGCGCTCTCTCTCCAGTCTCCTTTCAAGCTTCGGCAGTAACCTCCCTATTCGCTAAACCTGATCGCGAAATTATTCTTCCACGCGGTCCCAAAGCCAAAACTCTCCCGCCACCTCCGGAAATCGTTGCAAACGTTCAAGGCTCATCTGCCGGTGCAGGTTCTGGCGAGTTTCATGTTTATAAAGCTGCGCGGAGGAGAGAATATGAGAGAATCCGGTTGATGGAGGAGGAGGTTAAGAGGGAGAACGATGAAAAGGAGTTCTTAGAAAAAACCGAAGAACTTAAGAAGAAGGATGACGAGCGGACGGAGAAAAACCGGAAGAGGAGGATGAAGAAGAAGCAGAAAGGAAAGGGCGGCAAGGCTGATGTTGAGATGAAAGATGAACCGAAGGATACAAATGGCGGCACCGCCAATGGGAAGCCAAACGAAAATTCGAATGGTACTGCCATAAAAGAAAACACGAACGGAATAAATGCTAGCGAGATGAAGGCGCAAGAGAGATCTTCGCCCCCCGTGGAGTACAAAGAAGGGAATGGACTTATTATTCACGATGAGTCCGATTGAGTATTTTAGAAGGAGCCCAAGATACTCACTTCTAGTCAATCAAAAAATTATTACGGTATAAAAGCGACTCGAGGCAGAACTAAATCTTACTAAATAGCTTATTCGGAACCTCTACGCTCGGGTCATGGAGTCATGGAGTTGATGGCGTGAGAGGTGGAAAGGAGGAGGAACAGGAGGCATTACAAACTTCTTCCCCTTAAATCTATATTTCTGTGCGGCTCGTTTTGTGTTTTCACTAAATCCCTTTCTCTTCAATAATGACAGTTTATGTTTCATTTGTCATTTTATTTCTTACTTGGATCCGGATTGGTGCCCATAGACTTTTATGTAATATTATATCAACCTGGTGTTTCTGGTTTCTTCAGATTATGGAGTATTGTGGATTAGGAAGAACTACATGTACATGTAAGAGTGTAAATTTAATCCACTTTCGCTCTGTTATAAGTGCGCTGTATTCAGATAAAATCCAGTGTCCCTAGCTCATAATACTAACTATGTGTCAACTTCCTTTTGTATTCGGCGTAGTGGTCATATGAAGCCCTGTGAGGGCAATGTGTCATGATATATCACTCGCCCACACGTATGTTGAATTAAAACAGGGACATAGAGCTCCATCTCCTTTGAATATCTCCGACTACCGCTAAAGAACCACATCTATTTCACCGTGTATACGGAAATCGTTTCGTTAACCTCCACCTCTTAACTTAACCAAACCATTGCTCGTTTTAAGATGGAACCAAATCCTCCTCTACTTAATAGTGGTAGAGAAGAAGGCACCGACCACTCATCACCATTGCTACGGTACCCGCCACACCCGTATATTGAAGATGCTGAGAGCAAAGATGTTCAATATGAAAGCGAGCCAACCTCTTTCCATGGCCCGTCTCGAATGGATGTCAGTTCAACAGATAGTTTCCCGGGAGCTCTTCCTGGCCAGCTCTTAATAGAATATCCAGGATCGTTGCCTACGGAGGATCTAGAGGAAGAGAGACCCATCAATCCGCCTAATACTCCGCAGACACTTTCAGAGTCATCTTTCTCTTATGGAACCCCATGTAGACATACAGAATTGGAGGAGTCTCTGGATTCCTTTGACTCAGAAGAGACAGAGTCAATATATGAAAATGATGCCACTTCCCAAAACCTCTCATCAGCAGTGGGTCTTCCGCCTCATGTGCCTTACATACAAGAAACCCCGGCAGTCAGTATTGAATCGCAGTTTGAGCCATTCCAGCTCGAAACTATAGAGGAGGAACCGGTGGAGGTAAGCAGCAGCTTACTCCCGAACTGGCGCTCCTAACGAACACATACCGAGACTATCTTGCTAATCGTATCAATTAGGGGACAACGGCTTCTGGCGTAAATACCATGGATGAAGAGCCCCGACTGCAAAAAGAAACCCCCAGGTCGACATCATTTACTGCCATACTAAATGAAGATGAAGAAGAAATCGAGTCAGACGAGAACGAAGTAAGTTTCTTCTTATACTAATTTTAATTTCCGGACGCCTGAATGGTACTATATCTGACCTATTGTATTTGTGATAGCTAAGTGTGCAATTCATCGAAAATATTGAAGATGAATCCCCCGCAAACCCCGAGAATTCGCTCCACCATGCTTTCAAAACGGACAGGAATGAATCCCCCCAGAGTACTACGAGAGTAGGCTCAGGTTCATTAAGTCTCGAGTCGATGGTTAGTTCCGGTTTCCTAAAGTTTTTAATTGATAAAAAGGTTACGTATTATTCTAGACTAATATACCTTTATCTTGCTATCTATAAGCTGGCCGAGAATTCCACCGTTGCATCTTTAGATATTAAAGCTGCCGGGGAAAACCATAAATCAGCTGAAGCTGAGGATAAGGATGAGGATGAGAATGAGGATGAGGACATGTTGTTTTCAGTGCCCATGGCGCGGAAAGTTATTCCTAAGGGTACCGCCTTAAAGGTTCCCACCAGCGACCCATCCTATAGTTTGAGTAACTTTCCGAGAAATAGAATTGACCACAATTTTAGCTCACTATTTCTATCCCTTCCGGTTCTGAAGACAGCACTCGCCTTCCAACCTCACCGAAAAGAGACGTGTATGATCCAACATCGCTAAGAAAACCTGGGCCTGTGAAAATGGAAAGCCTCGAGTATGGTCTTGTGACTAGAAGGCGAGGAATATTACCACCTCCATCGCTGAAATTACCACCTGTGTCATCAATCCCGCAAGAGCCACCTCCAAGTTATGAAGAAAGTATGGGTCTTACAAATGATCCTGGAGTCCTTCTAAAGGATCCATTTGATGGGAGTGATAGCGAAAGCGACAGTGATAGTGACTCTGATGACGATGATGATGAGGATGAGGATGCTTTTGACCCTAATAACGAAGATGATTTATATGATACGGCCTCTTCACGACTAGATGTTTTGGATAGGCTTATTGCTGAGACCAAGGCATCTAGATCTTTTTCATTGAGAAAGGAGCCAATCAACACAACTACTGAGGTGGGTTCCAACGAATATGAGGGAAAACACCTGCCAAGTCAGGAGCATCAACATCTAGACGCTACGACTACTCGTCCAGATTACAATGAAAACGGCCCGCTCATTTTCCGAAAGCCACCTAGAAAGGAATACAGGGAGACATTTAGATTGGAGCCCCATCCAAGAATTTCTAAAACCCAGCATGTAGGGAATATACCGCTACAGCCTCTGAGTATTGGGGGGAGCCAGGCTGAACCATACGATTTAAGCGTTAATAAACTCACCTCCGTCCCAATTCCATCCAATGACACGCCTTCGATAACAGTAAGTCCTTCTACTCCCCACTTCGCTTCTACATGTATAGAACCGCTAGATAATTAAAGGGATGGGAAGGAAGAACTTCCAAGGCATCGTTCCATAAGGACTTTTCATGGGCTCCTAGAATCTCGGAAACCTGACCAAAAGCCAGAAGATGATATGAACAGGTCCAGCAGCCTAAAATTATCTAATAATTCTAGAGATAATTTATCCGGTCCTAGGATGGTATTCAAACGGGACCTTGGTTCTAAAGATCGCAAAGGCTATTCAGATATGATTAATATACTTCAAGGTGTGATTAATACACTTGAAAGGCCTATATCAATGTCTGAATTAGAAATCTCCACTGCCGTCGACAAATCCCAAATAATTGTGGACTCAAATTCAACATCCCAAAGAGCGAAGACACACTTCTCATCAAGTAATGCATTGTGTAGCTCAGAGATGGCTAGTCATATTGAAGAGGACAGGATAGAAGAGGACGGGGGGGGAGAAAGGGAAAAGGCACAAAAGGAGTTGAGTGAAAACGAAAGTGAAGAAAGTGATGAACCAAGGAGCAAAGACGGTGATAGATCTAGTACAGATGATGATCAAAATAGCGATCACGGTCCGTCGAGTGGAGGCGCTGAAATTATGACTGGACACACCACCTCGGACCATCAAGACAATCAGGAGCGTGGCAACTCTAATACTGATTCACCGCCGCGAGAGAACGATGGAAAAACTTCGCTTTCATCTTCAAACAATTCCAAAACATGGGGACATCATATCCTAAACTGTGAATACATGCTTGAGCCAGTATCCACGCACCAAGCCTTGGAGGGACATCAAACGAAGTTGTTGAGTATAGAGAAACAGGGACTTTATTCACCAAGTGCAACTAATAAAAATTTGACACAAAAACCAAACCTCTCATCAAAGTCACCTAAGGGGAAATATGATACAGGACGGTATATTTTTGGAATTTTTAGAGAAGCACAGAACTGCACGGAAAAGCAGGAGCAGAAATCTACATCACAAACAATACCATGTTCGACATCGGCCTTTACATCACTTCAAAAAGTGTCTGAATATAAGGACTATCCACAAAAAAGCGAATATGTATTCCCAACTTCATATGTCCATGGCATACTGGAATCAGAGCCAAAGAATTACAAAGCGGTAGGTGATGAGAAGCAAAGCTCGTGGGCTACACTTCCAGGACTTGCGCCCGTTTCCCATGTTCTATTTTCTTGTCTATCTTGTGGTTTCTTGGATTACAAAGAAAGAACAACATGTCTCCGATGCACGTCCCCTATAAACTCCAACAAAATCACATTAAAATCCCATAGTCAGTTGGGGCAGTGTACAGTGTGTGGATATATAGGTTACCAACGTGGGTCGGCATGTCCAGGTTGTCATACACAGAAAGCTCCTCAACACTGCAGTATTGACACCCAACAGCATGGAAATAAACAACCAAGCGGCCGGTGGAAACCGCGCAAAAACTGGAACTGTCCACACTGTGCTTTCCATAACTTCAGACAGAGAACGGTGTGCAATAGCTGTGGTACACCTGCAGTCCCACCGGGTGCTGCACAAAGTGGTATTTCCCAAACAGTTCATGGTCCAAAATCTCCATCGTGGCAGCCAACAAAAACAACTAGTAGCATGCCCTTATCTTCTATCTATTCGAAACTAGTTTATGTGAATCACGCATCTCAGATAAGAACTGCACAGGACGTTCTAAAAGGATCATACAAACATAAAAGCTATGATACTAAGGAAAATTCTCATTCTGCTGTGGAATTTGCCCCTGAGAAAAGAGATTATTTCTTTAATTACTTACGCACTATAGCTATTGAAAACAAAAAAACTTCTTTTTAGACGACATGGTATTGGTACCTGGAGGATCAAAAACGCCATTCTCTGATTCGATTGTTCTAGTATCGTTTAGAGAGTATACTTGCGTGTATACATGAAGATTTCCTTCGTGGAAAGGGGTTAGGTTGCTACCATTATAAAAACACTGCTCTAGACAGAACTAGCTTCGCGAAGAAAGAAAAAATGTAAATAAAAGAAATTGAATCTTTTTTGCAAGCTACGCCGTGATCTAACACAGTTAAAAGAAAGCCCTAATCACTCGCAGGTTGATCGTGGTGGGCCAGATATCATGGTTATTTCATCCAATAGCTTTCTCTAGCTACAAAGCCGTAGGGTGCAATTGTTTAACTTACATGCACTGTCCTTCCTATGTACATGTAGTACATGTATGCATACTCTACAAGTCTACAGTCAATCTATCTAAACAACAATACACATACTCATATATCTACGTTTCTCAGATTTTGCATGAAACCTAAAAATCTCCAATTTATGTACCATACATGTACCTACATACATGTAGCTACACGCGCGTATACCGAATCTGTGTTTGGCTAATATCAGCTAGAAACTCCCAGCTCTGCGGAGCTCGGTGCACATTTCGGCGTCTACCCGAGGCGAGCCATGCATGGTATGGATCAGGCTACCCTACTTGATGTACCTACAGAGAATCTTCCATATTTTCGCTTTGCCGAGCTCAGAATTCTGCGCCACCGGGAATTCGTAAGTTGGTGCTCGTACAATGGAAACGGCCACACGATACATACATGTACCTTACATGGACTTAAGTACATGTAATTTATACTTTACCTATATCACTCAACTCTAGTACGTGATATACGAATAAAACTCTGTCTTCTTAACGACTGTTTCTGTATTGTACTATGTATATGTAGTTATGATACGATTCTATAATATGCATCTGCTGTCTAAATTACTCGGGGGTCACAATTCTCTCCTATTTCTACGAACTGGCAAAGCAGTATGTACCCATGCCAAGCACACAAAAGTTGCTCATCATTCCCCTCCCCCCATCACATCCTTCTCGCCTAAACTCAACCCCGGGGTGGCGTAGACAAGCATTTATTTTCCCGGGGTAAACGTGCATTCATAGGCTACCCCACAGTTTCCCTTGACGTCAAGCGGCCCAAGTCCAGCGTTCCACGATTTTGGCCCTGCAAAACGGTATATGTGCATATTTCTCCCCCCAGAAAAGTCACTCTCCGGCCTAATTTGCGGGGGAAGAACTTTATCCGGTTGGATATAATAATAACAGGAATATAGAGGTGCTATAGATACGTCGTGTATAGCTAGGTATCCCTTACTTCTATGAAATGCTGAGGCCTTATAATAAGGAGGTTCATCCTCCCAGCCATTGGCCTTTTCTTAACCTTCTCCACCATACATCTACTCATATCACTCGTAAGGTGCAGTTATTTCAAGATGGTCAACTCACTCATCACTACTCTTGTGGGCATATGCTGTCTCACCTCCACGGCCTTAGGATTCCCAAATCCCAGATCAGAGTCGAAACATCACGCGCACAATGAAACAAGCGACGTCCCGAGCCCTGGTGCTGATGGCAAATATACGCTTGAGGCAGAGGGTATCAGGGCCCAATTTGTCCCTTATGGTGCTGGTATAAGCAACTTATTTATCAAGGACAAGAATGGTACCGAGAGGGACATTGTGCTCGGTTGGGATAATGCTTCGTATTATACACGTAAGTCTGGATGCTCTTTCTCATCGTCAGGATTTGAAGGGTTTTAAAAACTAATAAAAGTAGAGGATCCATGGCATGACCATTACGGTAGTGTTCCGGGAAGATATGCCAACAGGATCAAGAACGCATCATTTGAGATCGATGGAGAGACGTTTAAAGTCGACGCCAATGAACACGATGGGTGTAAGTGCAACTTCGATGTTATTATCTTCGAGAACAATTATGCTAATGCCTGCCAATTAGTAAACCAACTCCATGGCGGAAGCAATGGATGGGACTACCGCAATTTCACCGTTGTCTCAGTTACAAAGACCTCAATAACATTCTCAATCTTTGACCCCGATGGCGAAATGGGCTATCCTGGCGATGTTATCTCATACATCACTTACACACTCTCACCATACACGTGGCATATCAGCATGACGGCTACCGCTCTAACCAAAAAGACACCTATAATGCTGAGCTCGCACGTTTACTGGAACCTTGACGGGTTCCAGAACCCTGAAACTGAATTGGCTACTGATCACACGCTGTAATCCCCCAAAATCTCTCCCAAAGAAAGACAGCTGTACTTATAACTCATGATAGGCATCTCCCTTACTCTGGGCTCAGAATTGGAGTCGACTCTATTCTCATTCCCACAGGCGAAATTCTACCCAATGCCAAGGGCTCTGTGAACGACTTTTGGAGCGAGCCCAAGAAGATTGGTCGTGACTTGGACTCACCAGATGCAGTTGGGAACTGCGGAGAGGGCTGCACAGGGTGGGATAATGCTTGGCTCGTCGGAAAGCATGATATAGACAATGAGGTGCCTCTTGCCGTACACTCTTATACAATCCAATCTAACAAACCCCTAGCCCGTTGCGTCCATCTGGTCAGACTGGTCTGGTATCAAAATTGACATATTCACCGCCCAGGAGGCATTCCAAATGTACTCCTGCAACGGCATGAAAGGTTTACATCCCATTCGCTCTCTTTTACTCACCTTTCGTAGCTGACTATTGTTTAGGAGATAAACCATTGAAGTCGACACAGGGTCTTCCGGGTCGTCGCCTTACACAGCAGTATGGATGTATAGTGCTAGAAGTTGAGGACTGGATTGACGGAATTAACCATCCGGAGTGGATGCGTGGAGGGCAAATCTGGGGCCCAGAGGATGGACCGTATGTCTTGGAGGCAACGTACAAGTTCAGTACTGTTTAAGGTGTTGAACATATATATGTAGGACGATGTATAATGGATCTGTATAGTTTATTGATGGCTAACGATATGATGCTTGTAAAAATGAGTTTTTATTTTGTGGATATCATGCGATTGGATGCCGTTGTGATATAGGAAACGTACATATGTAGCCAAGCTAAATACCTACAAACTACTCACTCCACCACAGCCCCAACGCCAGCGTCGCACATAGGTACATACATAGATGTAGTGTAACATTACACAGACAGATCACAGGGCCTGATTCAACTTGGTGTACCCAACATTGAAAGAAAGGCCCTACAACGAGGCCAATTTAGAGAATACATTACTAAACGAGTGATATATCATGATCCAGACCCTTACTAATTGGGTTTGTTTTAGCCCCACTAGTAAGTTTCCAGAAGCCACTTTCTAAAATTACTTGTACATCCATATAAACTGGACTAGCAACGGAAGCATAAACTAGTTATATTGGGGCGGCTAAGAGTTTGTATTAAGGAGATTGGTAGTGGATTAGCTCGTAGGTTCTAGTAGCAGATCGGTCACCAGCCGCCGCACCCCAATCATACGGAACTACTTACAGGAAGTAAAAACCTTTGTACGGAGCAGAGTACACGCAAATAGGGAAGCTAGGACACCTCGTCTTTTACTATTGAAAAGAGATCAAACTACATAACACCAACGACGTGATTCTGCAAAATCGCTCTTGTGCTTATACCTTAACCTCATTTATTACAAGGCAACGCGAGTATCCGCTCAAGAAGCACAATGCAGGCCATCGCAAGACTATAGCACCTTGGATAATGTCTTGGGACATTTAAATCATTACGTTTCTGCCGCGCTGTGGTAAGCTGCCAGTGGTAGTAATGCAAGAGTCTAAAATTATGTATTTGAATGTGGCTGTACTAGGATATTCACCAATTCTCAAATCATGTATTTTTCGAAAGCCCGAGCTATCGCTATCACAAGGATGGATTCCTGCCAATTATCTAAATGGTCCGGATCGAAAGCTAATGTTGATATTGTAGATCCATGATCATTCTCTATGTCATGCCTCCCCTCATCCTTGACAACTGATTAATTAGCCCGTAATAACCATCTCTGCCACCTGACCAACCATGGGAATCTGCCTTTTCAGCCTCTTCGTCAGCCTTCCTTCTCTCTTCTTCCTTGCCCAGCACTGCTTCTTGTCTTCTTTCTTGCTGTCGTTTTGAGGCCATCTTCTTCTCCTCCTCCTCTGCAACCTTCGCTTCTAGCGCCTCAACAACTGCGATCCTAGCAGGCCCCTCAACAGTCCCTTCAAAGATCTTAGCAAGCTCCTTTAACTCCTTTATTTTTGTGGAAGCAGCCGGAAGGTCGTCGCATGATAAAAGATACAGAATCTCTTCTATAGGGTTTGCGCTTGATTTTTTCTTTTGAGTTTTATTACTTGATTCAAGCGCACGAATCGGGGAGGGGGTTCTGGGAGGTACAGGAACGCCATAGGCGTTTTCGAGAGGAGGGTTCAGGTTGTTGGATTCTAGCTTGGGCTCTTCCGGAGAATCGTTCAGAGGCCAAGCCATTGCATCGCCAAATATGCGGATTACATCTTCGAGGCGCGCTCGAACCGTTGCTAGCATTTCAAGTTTCGAGAGGACATCTGGCTTGTTACTTCCAGGGGGTGCGTCTGTAGTGGTGGTCCCTGTAGTCTCGGTGGGCTCTTCGGAGCCCTCGGTTACTGGGGGTTGGAAGTGCTCGATGTCCTGTCGCAGATCTGTATTTAACGTCGTTGACAATGAGAGAACATCGCTACGAAGAAGTTCAACCTCATAGCCAAGGCGAGGTGTCAGACGTAAGATCTCGTCGGTAAGAGTTTGTAGTGTCGTCAAGAGACGCTGTGTTTGAAGGTCCAGAGTAGAAAGAAGAGTTGTGGTTTTGGCTGATAGGCTAGACAAAGATTCGGGATTTCTAGACTTGGATACCGATGCTGAAGAAAGAACAGAAGGTGGGAGGAGAGGTGGGAGGGTCGAGTTGAGGTACGCCTTGGCTGAAAAGTTTGGCGAGAGGAAAGGTGCTAAAGCGGGGTCTGCTAGGAGAGATGATGACGACGAGGCTGTAGTGGATGCCCCCGAGGAAGCGATCGGAGCTTGTGAAGCCATTCCGTTCCAATTGGCTTGTCGGAAAGAGCTGCAAGTGAGAGCTCCTTGTGTGAGTGATGGCTGGTGCTTGAGCTTGAAGTTGAGGTGAAGTGGGAATATCCAAAGTTGGTGTAGACTAACCTAAAGCGTCAATCCTACCACTTTGTGTAACAATGCTAGGCGACGACTATTTCCTACTGTGCATCATTGAGGTGTAGTAGCAATGAGTTGCCAAATTTAAATGTGACTACCATGAATCTGCTTTACTATGATACGTACTATAGTTATGTAGATGTATCTGAATAAAAAGTTATTGGGAGCTTTATGAGCTTCGTTCAATCGCCTGTTGACAAGGTATATAAGTACCTACAATACCTAGTACTTACTACATGTAGTAATGTAGATGTTCACATAGACCTCCAGATACTGACGTATTCTATCACCTTTACACACTGCGGCTGAGGGGAGACAGGTACATGTACACTACAATAGATGCTTGGCATGTTGTACGCACACGCGGGGCAGCATGATGGTGGTTGCCTGGCAAGGAGCTCCCAGCGACGCCGCACGCCGCACGCATCACTCATCAGTTATTCTTCCCCAATTTAACTTCTTTCCATTCTTTCCTCACCCCTCTGGAATTTCTCCACCGACTATCCTCCATTTCCATACCGTTTCTTTAAACCGTTGCCGATTAATTGTCTGCTAAAGCAAGGGGAAGGATGCCTAGGAAATCGTTCTTCGCCGATCTGGAGCGAGTACAGAGGCCGGGTGGTGTCGACAGTTGTATTTCTGGTATGGATTTCAGCTTCCCTGCTATGTTTAGTGATGACAGCAGCTCTTTACTTGATATCTAGAGCTCTGGCAGCTCTATTAAAAGAAACTATCTTGTTTGACTTAGGCGGTAGATACAAGCGAACACAGATTAGCTAGGGAAAGGGATTGATTGGGGGATTCCGTCTTCAATTGGATTGAAACAGCGTGTTTCGTTTTGAACCACTACTAATTAATGAGAATTGCAGATGTCCACCGAGGGGACGATGATGGATGCTTCAACTTCACCTTCACACCACATGGCACTGGTTCGGGGAACAGAGGTATTGGAATTACTGCCATGATTCCAGGTTCGTCTACCTAATATTACTGTTTCCACTCTTTGCGCAGATGCCGTTCGTTGTAGTCATTGAGGGATGTGTGCGGCAAACTCTGGGAAGCTTTATCAATGATGCTTTGTGCCTCCCATTATCGCAATCATTAATACATGATACTGAGCAAACTCCTTCCTACTTTGTTCTCTCGATCTTAGGACGGCCATATGAGAATGATCCCCAAAGTCCTTAAAGCTAAGCATATTCTCTGTAGAACTAAGCGATTATCCGGATTCGCACCAGACATATCTGTACACAAGCTCAGCTGATGCCCCAGGTGCTATCACTGGTGCTCTTGCAAAGTTCTCTCCAGAAGTCTCGCAGCCACTATCAGCGCTTCTAGCTGCAGTCTCATACTCTCTCAATAAAGCGATGGGCAGCATAGGGCCCACAGATTCTGACGTTCTTATGGAGGACAACGAATTCGAAAATAGCGATGAGGATTTTCAAAACGGAGAGGACGACGACGATGAAGACGATGATATATCTGTAGGAGGCTGGGAAGAAGATTACCAGGACCCAATTACGAGGACTCGTCAGCATAGCTCGGCCGAGAAAGATGAGTTTTCACAAGATACTCTGGCTCCAGCAGAGGTACGGGAGTTAAGAAAGGCGCTAAGGCATGATCTTCGGCTAGCAAAAATTGCCGGATTCAAGATTGGCGTGCTTGGGGATTATCAAGGTGGAGTGGATCTTTATGTTTCTCTTGGTATCAGGGTGTCAAAATTAGGAATTTCGGATGAAGCAATTGATGCTTGGAAGTTGGATAAGCAGAAATATCTCATCATGCTCATCCACTACTCATCGTACTATCAGACCTTGGAAAGGCTCACTGGGGACGTTGGGGGTTATCATGCTAAGAAGAGCGTGGAGCTATGCGTTGGCACTGCTACCAAATACAAGCCAACATTAATCGAGGCAATTGGGGCCTTCAGCAAAATAAGCGCTTTCGATAACACTCACCCTCTGTCTAATGGTACTACTAGCAAGGAAGTTGGCGGTCTGGATGGAACAATTGAATTGTCAGATGACAACGCCTTTCGTGGAGTGTTCATTAGTAGACCTCTTAATGAATTGTTAAATTCGAGACTGATACAGTTGGTGAAATATCGAATTCACCATGGGTTTGGATGGGACGGGGCAGAAAGATATTATATCGGTGAGAAAGGTCAATTATTCTACCAAGTACAGTTACTAACGCCTTCCGTGAGCACAGATAGTCAAGGTCGCGAATCCAATAGTTTGGGCCAAATTGACAGTAGATACTATGATCATCAAGAACCGAAGAGGGCTCTCGCGGGGATCGTAACCGATGACTCCCTTGCAACCTCGTCACCTAAGGATGCATCGTTCCCCTTACTTGCAATGCAATTAACTCTTCGTCACTTGGTTCGGTGTACTGAATTCTGCCTTGTGTGTCACACAAAAGTCCAAAACGATTTCGAAGCTCTCAAGCCCTATGTGTGCTCAAGTCCACTATGCCTTTACCAATACATGTCTCTTGGGTTCGGACCTAGTATCGAACATGAGATAATCTCCCAGCCCACAGTTGTCGACCTCCTGATCAGCTTCTGTCATGTTTCAGCAAAGTTCGACAAATTGGTCGAGTTTCCTTCTGGAATGAATCTTACAGTTCCTGGTGCGCTCTTTGAGGCCTTTCAAGCTGACTATCATCGGGTGAGGCACGAACTTTCGTTCAACCAAGACCCGGATACATTGAGGCCACCACTGAAAGTGGGTGACTGGATCACAATACATACCAAAGCAAATGGTGTAGCCACTTCAGAAACATTTCACGCGAGGGTTATCGAGACGGAATACTTTCCCAAAGTTAAGCTTGCTACCCCTATAGGATACACGCCGCCATCGAACCCCGTACTTCCGAACCCCCAAAACGCTTACAAAGCTTCCAATCCCCAGGCAATTCCACAGCAGCTTTACCAGCCTGTGGATAATCTCCCAACAGTATTACCAGTCACGTTTTCGATTTACAATGTAAATTTTGATTCGTTGCCTGAGAGCCAAAAAACACAGAATATTCTCCAAATACTCGAAACTCTCCCCTCAGTGGCAGAGATGAGAATGTGGTTGCAACGAAATACAAAGGTCGGCGAAGAAGCAAGTTTGAAAATGTGGAAGAATCGAATTTCGCCCCCAGCCCTTGGTATATTAAGATGGATTATTGCAAGTAACAGAAGCTGTATTGTTCCAGTTGATCACGAGATGGATAGCCTCGGGGGCATTATCAATGGCCCCGGGAGCAAAAAGTGGTCAGAACAACGTGTTTGGGGAATGGGTGATTGGCTACAGTTCAGGTTTGCTATGGGTGCACCTGACAAGGAGCAGCGATTTTTGGAAGCTGTTCAAGATGCCCAGAAAAGACTCAACCAACCTCGTATGAGATCCTAATCCTTGTACCATCATTATTATTATTATTCTAATAGTCTTTAGATTCTTCCCTATTTGCTTTCCACGGCTCCCCTTTATCAAATTGGCATTCAATCATCCGCGAAGGCCTTCACTTCAAGAAAACACAGCATGGGAGAGCTTTTGGTAACGGTTGCTACCATAGCTTGGATCTAAATGTATCTATGGGATACTCCGGCACGGCTGCTGGGTCGAGTGTGCATACGAGCGCTCCATCCTGGTCCCAGAGTTCACTTAATATTAAGGCAGCCATCAGCTTGAACGAAATTGTAAACGCTCCTAATGAGTTTGTTTCGAAGGTAAATATCTATCTCAAGGCATTCGTTTTTTTTTTAAAAAAAAATATTCCTAACCTCAGTGTAGGCACCACATCTCGTCGTGTCCCAACTGGATTGGATTCAAACGAGATATCTATTCATCAAGATTGGGGGCAACAAGAGCGTACCCTTCGATGATGCGGCCTCATCAAGGCCGACTCTTATCCACCCTCAGGATGATGCGTACACTCCCAGGGGGCTTCTTGGGAACCTCATCATCCCTGCCACAGTCTCTGGCTATCGAACCAGAAACGTGCTATTTCCCGGCGGCCCACCGCCCCCCACCCCATCCTTGTCTCCAACGAAGATTGCGAAAATGAAGAAAAGAATATCACATATAATTCCCAACCTTGGATCTTCATCTAATACTCCAATAGTATTAGATGATGATCTTACTGATGATGCTAGCATCGCGACTGAAAGCTCTGACATCTTGGCATTGATTTCAGATGATGAGGACGATGACGACGATCTTTTTTCTCACGAAGATACAGGTTCCACAAACCGCAAAACGGATGGATCATCTATACCGAAGGAGGGGGCATTCATACCAGGAAGCCTCGACACGTCTGATCTTCCAATGCTTCCATTGCCCTCCTATGCCACTGGAGGGGCGAGCAAACGAATCCAGAGTGATCTTAGGAGTATCGTGAGGCTTCAGCAGACACAGTCAATTGAAGAGCTCGGGTGGTATGTTGATACAAGCCGCACTGATAATATATATCAGTGGATTGTGGAGCTCCACAGCTTCCCTGAGCACTTGCCATTGTACAAAGATATGAAGGAGAAGAACGTCAAGAGTATTGTGCTTGAAATGCGATTTGGAAGCCAATATCCTATGAGCCCCCCATTTATTAGGGTAGTCAGGCCCCGGTTTAGGGGATTTGGTCAAGGTGGTGGTGGGCATGTGACTGTTGGTGGTGCGCTTTGTATGGAGTTACTCACAAACTCTGGGTGGAGTGCAGTGAGTAGTTTAGAGAGCGTCCTCCTACAAGTGGTAAGTTTAACACATCCCTCTCTCTATCCACAGGGATGACACTAGTGTTGCGACTAACATTTCTTTTTCTTTTTTTTTACTAGAGGATGATGATTGCAGAGGAATCACCGCCAGCTAGATTGGCGGCTGGTCCAGTACAGTTTTATGCACCGTCTGAGGCGAGAGACGCATATCTTCGAGCTTGTAGAACGCACGGATGGACCGTGCCAGCAGATTTTGCAAGCATTGTCTAGAATATGAGGATTGAATTATTTTATTGGGCAAACAGGAATAAACCAATATACTGTAGTCCTTTTCCTTAAATATTTTCTTCCAGGGGATGGCATTAGCGGGGCATTTTCTTTTTGATCGCATAATGGACCTATTCATTCTTGAAAGTCATTGTTGGCCTTTGGCATAGGAACGGATTAAGGCGTCTTCTTTTAAGCAAGTATCTGTCTGTTATTCGAGCTCATCGTACTCTTCCTTTCTTTATAGTTTCATGCCAACTATCCACATGTCGATATTACTTTCTGAAATTCGGCAAGGCATTTCTATTATATATTTTGGTTCTGCAGTAGGTTTTCTTTACCGACGACTTTACTGAGTCCTGAATAGGCCAAGGAATACAGATATACATGGAGAATAGTCCTAAGAAATTGAATATTTAGGGTTTCCTAAGTACATTGGTATTGAAAAAAATAACCTATATGCAATAGTTTTGGGTTACTGAACCGGCATGTCCTTCTATCACAAACTGTCACTCGGAAGCATCCGCGGTTGACGTTGCCTAAGAACAAATCTTGCATGGAATTTGGGTCCTAGCGTTGAGACTCTTGGCGGCAGAAGCAAAGCATAGCTCTAGGTAGCAGCAGCAGCTCGGTGATCATCTATCGCAGCTGTCGGTTGCACCATCTTGCAACTGAGGTACAATACCTCTCCATCAAAACATGCTCCGTCAGAATGCCCATATATGTGCAGCTATCGGTAGAATTATTGCGGAAATGTGGCGTTGGAAAATCGCCCTGCTCTCGGCGTGATCGTCGGTCCCTGTTTCCGCAATAATTCTACCGATAGCTGTACACTCTTTGCTGCTTTTATTTTCTTGGTGTTTCCTTTGTTTTCTAGCCAGGATCCTCCTTGGCACTGTGACTGTAAAGTTCCAGACAACGTTAGTGCGTAGGGTTAGGGTTACAACAAGGCCATTGATCTAGTGCATTTGTATCGGCTCGGAACACCTCCCGACAAACCAAACCTCCTCGAAACACAACCCATCGCCGAGTCCCCCACCCCATATCCACAAGCACCAAACACACACACAAAACCACCGTCAGAATGTCACGTTCCTACGTGCAGGACCTCGGCCTAAACCAGGTCAAGCCCGAACAGACACCCTCCGCTGCGAGCTCCGACGACGGCCTGGGCGACAGCCTGGACATGTACACAAACTCGACCTTCGACTTCCTGGATGCCGACTTTGGGTTCGACACGACTACTACCACTGCTCCCGCCGCGGGAACGGAGGATGTTGGTGGTACGGCGGAGAAGAAGGTGATGGACCTGTTCGCGGCAGAGGACATGTTTGGCGATCTGGCCGATGTGGTCCCCGGCCCGTTTGTGGGTGGGTATGATATTATGGCGATGCCTCCCAGCCCCTCGGTCCAGAATAATGCGTTCGGCGCTTCGCAGTTCCCGATGTCGCCCCCAGCGCAGTTCACGGCGGCCTCTACGCCTATGACGGATGCGTCTCCGGCTACTCCGGCGCCAAAAGGGAGGAAGAAGGCGGCGACGAATCCGGAGGCTGTGAGTGCGGCTGATGAAGATAAGCGCCGGCGTAATACTGCTGCATCGGCGCGCTTCAGAGTCAAGAAGAAGCAGCACGAGCAGCAGTTGAAGGATAAGACGAAGGAGCTGACGGAGCATGCACTGAAGCTGGAGGAGAGGGTGAGGAAGTTGGAGATGGAGAATGAGTTGTTGCGAGGACTCATTATTGAGAAGAACGGAGAGGGGGCGGCATCCCTCGCTGAAGGGGGGATGGGTTTTGCGGTTTAGACACCCCCCCCCCCCCTCTTTCCTTCTCTATATCCTACTTTTCCTTTTTCTTCTGGTTTATTTGGATTATTTTTTTGTGTTTATTGTCCTTTTTTTCTGGGAGGCCCTTTTGTCCTTTTCTTTCTTCTTGTGAGGCCTTGATTTCTTTATCTAGGGGTTCTATAGAATATCGACAACCCTTTTCCTTTCGCCCCCCCGAAGGTTTGGTTAATGAGAGTGGATGACTATGCGCAACGTGTATATGTAATAGCAAAGAATTAGAGATTTCCATTTCGTTGATATCTATTTATAGCTGGAGAGGCTGGAGAGGCTGGAGAGGCTCGCGAACTTGGTGACTTGAAGCCAGCACTCTAGATGTCTCCCCGTTCGCAACTTAGAGACCTATCAACACTAAAATTTCATGACCAGGTATTTGGCTGGCGACTCCACGATCATTTCCCCTCTCAGACGGTTTTGGATGGCGAGGTGGGGTATGTGTGACGCAATTGCCCCAGGAGGAGGAGTAGGGATCAGCGCTGTCAAGGAAATGCTGCGTCGGGGACCTTGGGCCGGCTGTGCTTGGCGACCGTTGCCAAGAGGTGCCCTGCACTGATAAATCACATTCCTTGCTGTCCCTGAAATCCATATCGTGGTGCTGAACTCGAAAAGTAGTGCCAGAAAGACCGAGTTTTCCATCGCCGTTTGAAACCTTGAGCCGCAACCGTCACGTAGGCCTGCCTTTACTGCGGGGGCAGGTTAAATAGCCTGGGGGGAGTTCCCCTTATGTCAGTTCTTCTTTCGCGTATTTCGCGAGAACATAGAGCGATGGTGAAATCTCCGAGTAGCTTTGATTGGGCTGTATCGTTCCTGCTATATGCAGCCACCCGCTGTCAAGCCCCCAAAAAGCCGGACAGCAGCAGCTCGGTAGCAGTGAGCCATGGACCTCAGTCTTTACTTCCGTAGCCGGTATCTCGATGCTCTCAAACCATATAAGAAGCACCGGGCCCAAGGATAACCGACAAAATGAGATGAGATGGTGAGGGTCTGGACTGCAGCTGGGAACGATCACTAGTCGTAGGGGGATTGCCCCCTAACTCGAGGCCGTCGTTTCTTAGACCTAAGCTTAGATCTAGCCCGTATGTAGTCGCAGTGGAGCTTTATTGACAGCAAGTGGAGGATACATGTATGTATAGTATCTATATCTGTAGAGTATGTTCTTGGAATGATGTGGTGGGGAACTGCAGAGGGACCACGCTAGTAGTTCTTGCAGAACTCGGTAAAAAGCAGTTGGAGCTAGGGGTACTCTGTAGTGGTTATCTAGATAGCCAAAGTGGCCAGCACACAATACTGTCAATACAACACTTAATCTACTTTCTCCCTAGTACCAAACTTTTTAAGACGTACGCAGCCCCTGTGAATGTAGTTGAAAGTAGAGTGGATCCACACCAAGATGTGGATCATGAGTTATCACTCGGTAGGTCATCTAAATCGGGGAGAGATGTTTTTCTTTTTTTTTGTTTAATTCATTAATTGCATGCAACCTTACAATTATGGGAGAGATATTCCTCTATTCCATAGAGAAAGAGTGTGCGGCATTCCAAGATTCTGGGGAGAAATCAGAGATGTAGACGGAATAAAGGAGAGTGTCTGTCAGCTGGTTGTAGCTATCGCGAAAAGGCGGCCTTGTGACGTTTATTGGAGCAATGTATGGGCGAGGTTACGTGTTATGTATGCACGGTCTTCCTAGATGAAGAAGATACAAGAGGTTGATATTTATCGAACACTCGGTTACATATTTGTTATTGTTCATCTACGAAGACCTCTTCCCCGGTCTATAATCAGTTACACTACCATCCAACATCATCACTCAAATATAGCTAGGCACTACTCTCCACGAACATCTTTGAGACAAGACTGGGGCATAGGCCTGTCTCGCCTTGTACTGGTTTTACGTGTGGTTTATCACCTGGGCTTGATCGTCATATCTCAGTGCCCATTACGTGAGGCCGGATAATGCGAGTGATAATTCGTGACCACAACCTTAGTGATTGATAATTCATTCGTGTATGCAGTCTGTAAGCTATGCATATGTCACTCTAGAACATTATTGAAAAAACTATATGTAGAGTGACATAGTTACGAATGACTGGTTAATTGATTGATTTGTTAGGAATGACTACAATTTATTGATTTGTTAGGAATGACTACAATTTATAGGAGATACAAAAGAGTGCAATTATGCAGAGTTACAAAGATTGCCCAACCAAATACACATGTATCTGTTGTTGTTACATGTACTACTTCCTTTGATTTCTTCGATTCCTACTGCCAATTGACTTGTCCCTTTATTTCCTTGTTCCTCCCAGTTTTCTATCTTCTCATAAGATTTCCCATTGCCTTGGGGCTCTTCTAGACCTCTAGAATTCCATGCCCCGCTATTCCAGACACTGAGTCTGTTTTGAATATTCCTCCATCCATCTCAACGCCCACAGGAAAGACAAACCATTCTTTTTATCGTTACCAGTGTAGTTCTAATCCTCAGACAAAGTGACTGGCCCGAAATGCTCAAAGAGGCACCATCTGTCTCCAGTAATCCCATGCATGTGGCTTCTGGGAGTCTGAATCCACTGAGGAGACAATTTATGAGGGATCTCCGAAACCGCGCTAGCGACAAAAAATGAAGACTGGACTGCCTGGCTAATGGTGCTAGTGCGTGTAGTTGTCGGTCTCGCAATTGGCTTGTTGTATCTAACTGTCTCCATCGGGGCGACAGTGCTTGTAGTAATAGAATATGGTGACGGCCTCGGAATGTTGTATGCGCGGGTAGCATGTCTCTGGGCTTCATACTGACGCTGCTGCTCTTGATAGCAGCGCCGGTGTTCCTCTTGGTCTCGAAGTTGTTGCTGCTCGACCTGAAGATTCACATACCAGAAAAGCTCATCGTACTCTTCCCTGGTGTTCCTCGCATGCATATCCCGCTCATACTCCTGCTGCTGCTCCCAAAGCTCCCTGTCGAGGATTGCATTATTCTGCTGCAACGTGAGCTCCTCCTCCTCTCTCGCATTCTTAGCCTGAGCCTGCTCGACCTCATAGAGCGCTGTTTCCGCCCGAAGATGCTCCTCAAATCGCATCTTGTTCTCGTCGATAAATTCCTCATCGTCGCCGGTGTCACCGTCCCTCTGATAAGAAACAGAGGTGCCAGCAAGAGTGTGATCCTCCCAGTTGTCTTCCTCGCAAGTGCTGGTATCAGTTTGATCTTCCCAGTTCCCATTACCATATTTAGAGAAGCTACCAGTCTTAGCCTTGTAGGCCCGTCCGGCCCAGCACCACTCGTCTGTTTGGGGCGGAAGACCCCTTTTGGCCCTCTCCATTTCAACAAGCTTGCGATGGCCAACCTTCATGCCCTCCCTGTTGATAATATCCCCAATAGCCATGAGCTCGTTCCTTCTATTAAACAGATCAAGTTTTCCTTCGGGGCCGACCTTGCTTTCCCAGAGGTCGACATTAAATCCCAAAACAAAGCGCTGAATATGCCATGGGGAATCATGGTAGCGATCTCCTTCATGACCGAAAGAGCAATTTTTTGGTTGGTTGCAAGATTGTATCCCGTCACTACTACAGGAGGAGGTGGTGGAGGAGGTGGAGCCGGGACGTGACAATCCACATTGGATCATGGCATAGTAAGGACGATCGCGGAGTGCGTTTTGGTAAATACTTCCACGCCTTTGGTATCTTCTGTTATTGACTCTAACAGCGGAGTGCGGCTTTTTGTTTGTTTGATGCATTTCTTCGGAGGGGTTGTTGATAGGGCTCATTCTTGTGGCTTTCCTGGAGGGAGAGGTTGGGGTAGTGGGGTAGTGGGTAGTGGGTTGGTTATTGGTAGACATTTTGGAGGTGATGTTGGTAGGTTTATGGGGAGAAGAATTGTCGTTAGGAAGGTTTCTTTTAAAGGTGAGGTGGGCGTTTTGTGGAGGGGCCTGGGCACTGTTTAATGTTGGGTCTTGGTTCCTGCGATAAAATTGTCTACCAACTATATGGGTGTTGAGGGTGGTTGGTATATCAAGAGGTAGTGGCTGCCATTTCTTGTTTTTTTTCTTTGCAGTGAATGGTTTGATAAGGCCGGCGGTGTCTTTGGTACTATCATCGGTAGGGAGCTGAAGGGAGTTATGTTCATCTTCCGTCTTCTTGAGCGAATTAATGGGTAAGCCATAATGATTCTTAATTGTAACTTTGAAGTTTTCGGCAGGACGCTCAGGTAAGTCTGCCTCCTTGATCGCCTGCTTCTTAGAGATAGGCGGTGGGGCGATAGATTCAGAAAAGTCATCTGGGATTATCTGAAAGAACAGCACCCCCTTATTTCTGTTCTTCTTCTGGGGAGTGAGCGATTTAGTGACGTTGAGAGCTGGACGCTGGGGAAATTCCTCATTCATAATCTTTTTAATGCGGGTAAGATCTTTGGAGGAAGAGTGGATAGACTTTGTTTCAATGGGAGGTCCAAAAGAGTAGGGGGTAGCCATTTTTTATGCTTGAGCGTGAGTATATAGCGGGCAGAGATGCTAGATGAATTATAGGGAATTTAGGTGTAGCGGAGTTGAGGAAAGTTTGTTAATGGTTCTATTCGAGGGAACGAATGAGTGACTTGCTATGACGCTGTACCCCCCGGTAGTACGAGTGAGGAAACTAGGGCAAGTCCGACTGCTGCAATGCTTTACTCACCGTACTTGGTATTTTAGCGGGATCATGGGTATTCTTATAGCTACTGGTAAACACGCAGTTCAGTGGGGGTTTGTTTTTTTATCATTTCTTTCCTGCGTTCCTTAAAAGTCTTACCGAGAAACAGGAACACAGGCCTCGCTCTGGTCTTCAGATTGACGTTTTCCTACCCTTGGAAACCATTTGTAAACGGCCTCGGACAATTATGCCTCATCCTATACAGTGGACTACCCCCGTATTGTAAAAATATCACTAACATTGGTGGTTACCTGAAGAAGGTTTAGAGTTCACTTATTGGCTGCAGGCAGTTTCGAGTGGCTTTATGTACCATTGGCACATAATACATACTGAAGATAGAGCTTTAAAATTGGGATAATCGGTACTGAATGAGGGGCATAGTTCCTGTAGTAAATAAGTTCTACTCAATACAAAAAATGCTCTTCTCGGGAAAATCTAGGGTTTAGTAAGCAGAGGTAATGATAGAGTCGAATGCTTGGCAACTTTGGTTTGCAAATACTTTCATATTTATAATTTAATAACTCATAGATTCCTATCATGTGTGGGGTTATGGAGACACTTAGTTTCAGTACCTTGATAAAAGCTAGCTACTCGATTTAAAAACGTGGCGAATGTGTCCTGAGCGACCGGCGAATACCTCAGATTTGCGAATAGACTAATTGAGGCCTAGGTGTCGATCGCGAATGGACTACTTTCGATCCCATATATCTATGGCTAGGCCAGTCTATTCGCGGACAGCCTGGACAAAATTTAGTTTAAGTAAAATAAATAGTGCATAATAAGAACGATTTAGGTCAACATCCAATAATCTCTGGAGCCTCGTGGGACCTCTTCGGCCTCCAACGACCTCAAACAATTCAAATAGCTCAAGAAGCGAACCTATATTAATAATTGGTACCTCTGCGATGCTTAGGAAAATTTGTAAATGCTAGCGACCTCAAGGACTTGATCTGGGTCCCCATACGACCTTCGGTAGGGTTCTGCAACTTCAATTACCGCGCAAACCATTGGCGGATAGGTTTCAAAACTAAACACCAATCCATTCGTCGGCGGGCCAGCCTCGTCACAGGTGTATTGAGTCAGAAGTCTATTCGCGAATCTGAGGTACCAGCCAATCGCCCGGAAAAAAATGCCCAGCTAAGGCCACGTTTCTGAGGGTATTCTTATCGCATCAACTCAAAGCTTGTAGGCTGCACTCATGCGTGACAGTGACGTTTAATTTTGACATAATATTAAAACATAGCCCACCCCCACTGCATGCTTTAAAGGCGAGGACTATATCGCCCATGATTTTTCACTCAAAGCTTGCCATTAAATGACTGCTACCATATGAGATAGAAGATGGGAAGATAGATATAAATGGGCTTTTGGATACGCCTCGAGCAGGTTTTGTCCATGGTCACATGAGAAAAATCAAGAAGTCCCCCTAAACCTCTTTATATTATTCCAAACTTCCCTCTTTTCTTTAAGGGAATATCTAGGGCACCATAGCGTTCGACCAAAACCAACCAAAAGAGATGTGCAATCGCGCGTTCCATCCTGTCGAGTGTAGAAATAACAAGTACAAGGGAGAAAAAAACGAGCAAGTGAAGTTTAGGCTGGAAGAGGAGACACTGCAAAAAAAAAAATGATAGTACAGGCGGCTCAAACACCCGAGCCTTATTTCCTGTACATCAAAAAAAAAAATGAAAAGGGATCGGAGGAAATTATGATGAGAAAGCCAAAGAAAATCGACATTATATCCCATTAGCAGACAACCAAATGCACACCCTTAACAGACTTGACGAATTTTAGACCCCGGCTATAGTTTCTAAGAAACTAAACTTCACGAGATTGACCAGCTGAAGACCTCTCCGAGCTGTCCTGGTTTTTGTTGCGACGGACATCTTTCTGGTCCTCGCTACCATCATCGGTGGGTTCGCGGTAGGGGTACCAAACGCCATTGTTGCCGTAGTATCCGTATCCAGCACTGGTCCAGATCAAGAACCCTGGGCTGGTGACGCCAGGAATCAAGGTGCCAGTAGAATCAAATGGGTGACCTGGGTACTGCCCCTTATCAAGTCCTGGCCACTGCTTCTTTGCTTCTGGCACAAATGCGGAAACTTCCGGTCGAAGGGTGAAAGAGTTGACCGGCCTCACACCGTCGGTAGGAGAGGATTTTGGATCATCTGCGGGTATAAGTGCGCTTGGGATATTTTGCTGCCAGTTATACACAAGATCCTCTGTGTTGATTCGGGGGACCCGCTCCATGTTCTTGGTATTCATATCTCCCGGTACGGGGATACAACCTTGGGACTGTGGTATATCGTATGCACCTGTATCAGAAGGTTGGTATTGGGACCCAATATCGCCATCGTAATACCCCTGATTGTAAGTGAGTTGAGGCTGCGTCTGGAAGTTCTGATGGACGTTGTAATCCTGTGCAATGTTAAACTGCATTGCAAATGGGGTGAAGCCATTCGCCATCGGATCCATCTGATGCGCTCCATTGTAGAAAGAAACATTCTGAGGGCGAGAGTGCCAATGTTGGAAATCAAAATGGTGGCGAGGGTAAATCTGATTATAATTCTGGAACTGGGGCACAAACACTTGACCATGGTGAGAGATTTGATTTTTCTGGAGTGAAAAGTCCTGGGGATAGTGAGACTGCTCAGTGTTGTGGATATGCTCACTTTTCTGGAGGGGGGGATTCTGATGGTGTTGAGTCTGGTCATTAGGCTGGAAATCGGAATTCTGATGATGGGGTGGAGTGTGCTCGTTAGCCTCGAGGGCACCATCGTGGTTCTGAGGGCGTTTCTTCTGCTTTTTGGACTTGATAGAAAACTCCTGAGGGTTGTGGTGGGTCTGATGTGAAGGGACCGCGAGGTCACTAGCACGAACACGAGGTTCCGCCCTGAAAGTAGGATTTTGTAAAAGGTTCCTCGCTTTAATTTTGTTGTCTCTCCATGTCATCATACTCTTTAGTTTGGTTTTTTCGGCCTCGGTGATCTCAGTGTGCCATCGGTTAACATAATGATTAGATTTGTAAGTGGAATCGGTGTAAACATCTCCCTCGTGGCCATAGAAGCAATTTGGCCCATGCATACAGCCATACAATCCTATAGTGCCCAAGGTACGAAAGCATTGAAAACCATAAAACCTTGGTCTTGGTCTCAGGAACGCGCCAGGCCCAACATGAGCCATTGATTGTAAGCGTTCGAGAACAGTTAGCTTCTGTTGATTGGTCTGATTACCTTGAGCTGGGAAAGCCCTGCCCCCAAGGGTATTTGGACCAAGGCCCACGAAATTAGTCTGGGTAGCAGGTCCTTGGACCTCTGGCTCTTCAGACCAGTCCAAGTGTGGTTGAGCATTGGTCACAATGTCTTTGTTGTCCTTGACATTCTCGGTATGAACATGTGTGGGAGGCTTTTCCTGGTTGGAATTTTGGCATGCGTTGTTTTTCTTTTTGTTTTTCTTTTTGTGGGTATTTGAACTCTTCTTTACGTTTGCAGATGGGGCAAGAGGAGAGATACCAGAGCTAACAGCAGTATTGGAAACAGACTTAAGTAACCCTGCTTGAGGCTCTGGAGTGGCAGAGGTACACTCCGCAGAGGGTGTGGCTACAGCATGCCCGAGAGGAAGAGAAATAGGCTCTTTTTTCGCCCACCTCGAGTGTGTAAGATTTTTAGCTTCGGGAGCAGCGGTTGATTCCTGAGTAGCAATAGGCACTTGGGGGGCCACCGGTACGCCTTTAGCCTCTTTTTGCATCCTAAGCGCAGAAGAATGGAGTTTGGCAGCTTCATTCCCGACAGTGACAGGCAAGTGGAGATCACCAAAAAGATATCCACCACCAGTACGATACTCGGGGGCCGGCCTTGATGGGAATTAGCACCGTGAATGAAAAATGAAAAATCAAGAAAAAATAGAGCGATTTTTTTTGTTAACTTACATTGTTTATAGAAAAACTTTCTGTAACGAAAGATTTAGAGAGATGAAAAAATGAAGAAAAAAACTAGCAAATATTTAGTGTGAATTCTATCTCGTCAGCAGCAAGGAGGAGTGGCTTACATTCTCAAACAGAGGCCCGGGTGCTTGCAGTGCAATGAAGTTTAGAGAAACAAGACAACTGGGAATCAGAATAGGAAGGTTAGTGTGTACTTTTTTTTTGAAAAGTTTATGTGAATGAAAGGCTTACCCTCGTTCGCCGCTTCAAACAACAAGGCAAAGATACCGAAAGAGGAGGATCCACAGGACGACCTTCTGTTGAAGAGAAACCGAATAGCTGAGAGGAAAAATCAGTTAAAAAATTTAGGTTGAAAATGATGGGATACACATCTGTGAACTTACCAAGAAAACTTCAATAAACGCGGCCGGCCAGGTAGATTGAAGAGCCAGAAAGAAATTCTCTGAAATACCAGGAGAACTGGAAGGTTTTGGTTGGATAGAGTTAGATGAGATGGTAGGTTGAAAAGAAGAAGAAGTGATGGAGGTGGGGTGGAATTGGAGGTGAGAGTGGTGGTTGTAACTGCTGGTATGTTTTGGCGGGGTTGGAAAAATTAATCTGGAGGTCGTTGATCAATAAGGCAAAATAAAGAAGCGGCTCTGCATTGGTCCACGTACCCGAATAAACTTAAGTTGAGTGTGGTAATAATGTTTATGAGCAGCCAAGTTTCGATAGCCTTCAATTGGACGTACTTGCCAGTGTAAGCTGTCCTAAGTGCATTGACGGAGGTTTGCGGAATAGGTGAGGTAGCAAAAGGTGCTGCCGGGTCCCTTCCCACAAAGAACATGCATCCTTTAATTTGCAACATTGTCTTCGAAAAATTTGCTGCAACTGAATCTCAGTGAATATTACTTTGTCATTTACTCACGTTCTGACATTTGCAAACGAAAAGATATTAGACCAGGCACTGACAACGAGATAGGTTTTAAACCAAGAATTTTGATCATTATAATGTCAGCATGCATATGGGGATCCTACACACACACGAAATCCACTGCAATACTTCACTCATAAACATGAGGGTATTTACCGAACTCAAATATAGGCAATGCATAAGTATATTACACTTTCCCCCACGACGCACCGCGGCCTTACCAGTCGTTATTACGGTTGGCTGGCCGACACTACCATGGCTGAGAAATCGGCGGACAAATACGCATTCAAGAGCGTTCAGGCTTGGAATCTTGAGATTGGAAAGAATCCCATTCTAATTACGCATTAATTCATTTTCTCTAACTATATGGTATCTACATAAAGGCTTCTATCGTCAGATAATCTGACCGCACCCAGAGGAGCACAAACTAACTGACCTAGCTACACCTCAAGTCATCTCTCAACTCCGTCCCCTATATGTTTGGGCTCGTGCAAACACCTTCTTGCACCCCGCCACACCAGCTCTAGCACCCTCCGTCCCGGTAATAATGTCTATACTCTGTCAGTACTTTCCTCCGATCTCCACAATACTCCCAAAGAACAATGAGACCAACCGGGAATACAACAACCAAACCCTCCTCTCCTTCTACCACAACCGCCAAGTAAAACCTCACCTCAAACCCCCTAAACCCCTCACAGATCCACATATCACTGACCCGCTCCGTTGGTATAAACCTACTTCTCGTGCTCCACCCCGTCTTCGTCGTGATTTGGACACCCAAGTCTCTAATCACAACCAGCGACTCCTCAGTGTAGCCTCCTATAAAAAGAAGCACATACAACAGCACCGCCGAAGCAGGGAGCAGGTGACGCCATTGGAGCGAGGTGGAGAAGGGCGAGAAGGTCGCGAGGATCGGGTGGATAAGCGGGTGGATACTACTTGAGTATGGCGGCGGCTGGAACTTTGTCAGTAAGAGGAGAAGGGTGGTGGCGGCCAGAATCAAGCGCAGGAGCGAAGTGAAGTGCGTCAGGAGCGTGTGTGGGAGCGTCGGCGGCGGCGCGTTGGAGAGTGTAAACTCCACGGTTGTAGACGAGGGAGTACGTATTCGGAGCTTGGGAGGCTTGGTGAACATTTTGGTGATTGATTGAGGTGAGTTTAGTATGGTTATTCGCATAGCGCTTGTGGAATTGTGAGCTTTTGAGATATTTACAGGACACTTTGGCGCGAGTCGTGCGTTTGACGTCTGGGTTACTGGATTTGGTATCGCGCCGGGAACAGCCGAACTACTAGATTCCCAGGTGGGTAATTTCTTGGCATCTAACTATTAATCCTCTAAGTTGGATCGTAATTGGTTCTAGTTTGAAACACATAGCTACTGCATAGTGATGTGCCTATCGTTCAGAAAATATCAAACTATGATAGGTACTTATGGATATCTAGGTCTTCGATCAGAGAGACGCCTCACTGCTTTGCAACACCAGCACCTACACCCGGAGCACTCTGCGATCTGATACATACAAGAAAAGGATGAGTCCCAGTGACCTTATCAGTCGGAAAAAATTAAAACGAGTACAGGAACAATGATTCGACTCATCGACATTGAAAGGAATGATAACAGCCTGGCCTTGACACATCAGCCAAATTGTTGAATCACCTTCCCCGGCCTGGCCTGAAATCCAAGCATGTACTACATACACATTATGCAATGCGAGGACACGAAAGTTGACAATACTATATATATAGGCACATACTCATATTTGGGAGGAGTTTGGTCGTGGTAGACTTCCGGTTGCAGGTTATGATTGGGCTCCGGAGACGACATATTAATCATATGGAAACCCCTCTCTTTTCCACTCAAGTTGCAAACCTTAGGTACAGCACTGAAAAGTGTATATTTATGTATATACGTACACATATTATCTTATTTCGCTTTTAAGGTCGATAGTTTAACGCTTTCTATGCGTAGGCTTTTTATGAGTTAGACGAAGCTACAGCCTAAAATTTAATTTAAACAAGGCAAGGGAGTCGACATTCGTGTGTGATCGACAATTTACAGCAGGCGCCGCCCAGGACATGTGCTTTATATACGGCCATCTCTGTCACCTTAGTTTTTGTTTCATCGATTCGATCATTTACTTATGTATGTCCAGTACAGCATTAGCGTCCAGTTACAGTGCAAGCTGTCTGACTTCATCCCATCTCTCTACCACGAGAACAACATCAGTCCCGCGGCACCTACCCCAGTTTCGGCAGCAGCTGGCACACACATGGTAGCGAAGAAAAGGTTAAACTAAAACACCTAACAAAGCATTTGGAATCCAGTGTTCTATGAACTGCTACGATTGTGTAACGTCTAACCTCGTGACTACAATTTCCTGGCCAAGCGTGGACCACATCCCACTACAGCCGCATCACCAGCCATCGTTTGATTCACACCAAATCACGCGGTGATTGGATCAATACATCTCTACTAAAATTGGGGTACTCTAGCTACATGATACATACATGTATGCAGACTATTATCTCCAGAAGGAACCTGGCTGCCAATTTCCCGCCAAGCCAGATGTCTACCAATCAGTGCTAGGTATCCCACCCGAGCACCTTCCTGCGATGAAAGAAATGGCTGATAGGCCTACACAACCTGTAAAGTGTGTGTGCCGACTTACGCGGCCGAAGCCATCCCATTCCACGATATTCACAGGACGAAAGCGATAGAGGGAGCTGCTTGCAGAATCAAAAACCCAAAATAACCACGAAAACGGCTCAAAAAAGAAAAAAAGGGAGAGGGATGAGTTTGTCTGCGGGGAAGAAATAATAATGTTCCAAATAATCATGTAAACATGCAGTGCAAATCCTCGACCCTATCGATCCACTGTTTACACAGGGCTGTGAAGACTGTAAACTACATCAGCCAAGGCAAGGACAAGAGCCATTGTGCATGTAGCATGGTTAACTTACGTACGACACAACACCACCAAACAACAAGCTGTTCTCTAATTAGCCTACCCTATTAAACCAGAAACCACCAAAAAAACCTTCTACCCACTTTCTCCTTACTCTGAAAATTCTACAATTCACTCTTCACACTCTTCCAATATGGCCTTGAAGCTCTCAAATACCTGAACAAACTATTTCGGCAAGAAAGCTACACCTACTCATTCCCGCAAACTCCCCCACCCCCCTTTACCCTCCGATTTCATCCCCCTCACCATATCATGGACGTGCCTACGATTCTTACACCCCCGACACCTACACGGTCCTCGTCGCCAGATCCTGCTCTCCCGCTCTCCCGCTCTCCGCGTCCGTATCGCCGCAAAACTCTCCCCTCGAGTACACCACGTCCCTCAGCCGCATCGAGCTCGCGAAGGGCCACATACCTACCTTCTCCACTTCCAACGCCGGATATCTCGCGCGCGCCGTCGCCACTGCCTGGAGTACGATGGAGACGAAAGGAAAGGTTGAGCGCAGGCGGATCAGAGTCGGGAACTGAAGCGGACGATGAGTTGACGAGGAGATTGCCGGCGCCGCCGGGGAAGCGAAAACGAACTCTCTCGGAGGAGGATACGTACTATGGCGAGGTGGAGGAGGAAGCGGACGATCTAGACGGAAGAGGTAGAAGGAGAAAAAGAAGGGTAGATGAAGAGAATGGAGAGCGCAAGAGAAAAAGAAAAAGAATTGTGTTTGTGAGGAGAGGAATTGAAGTTGCGCTCATGGGAATGTTGGCGGGGGTGGTTGTCTATAATGGTGGTAGAGGAAAGGTGTGGAAGGAGATTTTGGCGTGGAAGATAGGTGCGTTTTTGCATTCCAGTTTTTACACAAATAGCTAACTTGGTGCCCAGAGTTTTCATCCTGGTTTCTTGTTTTTGCTTCAATTCTAGGTCTATTTCCACTACAGATTCTCCTAAGAAGTCTTCCTTTCGAGCTTCCTCGATCTCTTGATCCAGCACCACTTCTTTATCCTATACTATTTCCGATTTTTGTCTCACTTTCTCTCACTGAAGTCGGCGCTCCCGGGCGGAATCAGTATATCCTCACAAATATCATACTTTCTCTTTCTTCCATTCCTCCGAGCTTCCTATCATTTCCCGATCTTCACTGGGTGCTTTCTCTCGTTCCACTCGTTCTTCGTCAATATCTTTCTTCTGAGTTCACCCCCAGCGATACATACCCATTTCTCCCTCCACTACAGCACACACTTGTTGCAGTATTAAACCACCTTTTAGAACCGTCCCTCACACAAACGGAAATCCGTCTCATTTCAGTGGCGCTCATCAATCTACTCCTTTATGCATCTACCCCTCAAGCCATAATTCTCAAAGCTATTCTTTGGGGTGGAGGTCTTGCTACTCTAGTAAGCTGCTCCGACATCATTAAATTCAATATCGACCTCGCCCGCGTACCTACCAACCGTCTTTTTCGGCGCGCCGGCAACACCGTCATTACTATCGCCCGCCTCCGGAAGCTTGCCTCAGCTCTCAGACCCAAGGGCCAGGCCTCCGATAGCGAAACTGAAATCGAACCCCTTCTTGCCCCCAAAACTCCAGGCCGACCTCGCGCCAAAAGCAAATCTAATATCTCCTATTACACCACATTAACACCTTCTCAATACCGCCTTAGAAAATGGGGCTATCCAATTTTCGTATATACCAGCATATTCGCCACAATAATGCTAGGCCTACGGCCTTATATCGCACTACACGCTCTTGACGGTCTTGATCCGTTCCTCTGGGGACCCAGCTACCTTCTCTGTGGGCAGCCCTTCTATCAATCCTTCATTGATACTTTCTCACCGGGTACTGGCTACTGTGTCACCACTGGCTCCGCCGCCGCTGCAAATCTCCGCCTGTCAATTATAGCCCTCTGGGCACTCATCATTGCCATTGGAATCACACTAGTCACAGCGCTATCTCCTTATGTCCAAGTCGACACCCGCCGTAAGGTCTTTCATGGGATGGTTGTCGTCATGTTCCTCATTCCGGGAGTTCTCGACCCGCAATTCACGCACCTATGTCTCTCTCTTGCCCTTGGCGCCTTTATCATCCTGGACATTGTCCGCGCTGGCCAGCTCCCTCCTGCCTCTAGATTCATTGCAAGGTTCCTGCAGCCTTTTGTCGACGGACGCGATCTCAAAGGGCCCGTCGTTGTCTCCCATGTTTTCCTCCTCCTAGGCTGCGGCGCAGGATGGTGGTTGACCCTCGCTGCAACTCCCGAAGGAGATCCGTGGGACTGGAACAACAGAACCACCAGCTTGGCATTTGTCTCTGGTGTTGTGTCGGTGGGGCTTGGCGATGCAGCGGCATCGCTGATAGGACGTAGGTTCGGACGTACCAAGTGGGGATGGAGAGGCGGCAAGAGTATCGAAGGGAGCCTGGCGTTTATGACTGTCGTCGCGGCAGGAATAGCGGTAGGACGATGGTGGATTGGTGCAGGAGCATCAGGTTGTGGGCGCTGTGGGCCACTGCAGTTGCAATGGGAGTGGGAGGTTTGCGCAAAGATTGTTGCGGTGGGGGCGTGGGGTAGTATGGTGGAGGCAGTAGTCACTGGTGTTAATGATAATGTAGTAGTGCCGGTGGGCGCTTGGATATTAGTTATTGGGTTGGGTATTTAGTTAGAGGAGTTCTTTTGTTTTGGGTAGTGCACTTATGATGGAGTGTATATAGATTGGAACGGTGTTTGTATTGTTTTTTGTGGCATTTTTTTGTGATGATGGCGAGTAGGGGGAGGAGTCAGCCGTTGTCCTGTGATGACGGTTTGGTCTGGCCTGGCCCCCTGGACTATAGATATACCTTATTCTTAAAAATACATGTTTTATTATTATTCCTGTATATACATCTTCAAAACCTCCACCCTATACAGATTTGAAGTTCCATGTTCTTGATGGGGTGCGTCACATAATATCACTCGGGGGATTAGTCAACCTGTAATTCTCCCAAGGGAGATTGTTAAACTTGCGCCATGAGTTCCTCAAGATATTTCGAGTGTTAGTGCCGTCAGATCTCGCGTGAAGCCACAGGTTTGTGCCGCGTACTGGGTTCGAGGCCCGCGTTAACTCTTCTTGTGTAGATCCGCCCTGAGAGCCCGTTCGATGCCTCGAGTCTAGTAGCAGTACTGTCTGTTGGCATGAACGATGTG